CCCTTTCTACCCTGCCGCTCGTTTCCCCGTATCGCGGCTGCTTCGGCTTTGGACACTGCTGTGTCGCCTATGGCCGTATTCCGGTCGGTATCGTAAAGCATCCATCGTGGGTTGTCAGACAAGAGGGCAATCGCAGGAGATGAGCTCACGGATGTCTCCCCGTAAACTACTCGCTGGCTTTCATGTATTCAAATGTTGCAGGTTGCTCGAGTGTCTAATTATGTACCTAGTATATTTTATGTAGCCATACTGTAGATATACAAGCATATTTAACAGTGCCGGCAGTGGTCTGCACGCTGAAGCTCCTCGAACCGGGGAATTTGCGGGGTTGTAGCACTCTATTGAAGCTCCCGCAGCTACCGAAGCCCGAAATGTCTACCAAGCTCTACAAGCGCCCACGGGCATAGAGCGAAAAGACTGATTAGATCGGAATAGACCGAAAAGTTAGATTTAGGCAAATGCAGTCTTGCTGATGTATGTCCTCAATAAGACATAGTCGGTATAAGTACTGGGATAAACGAGAGAACGAAAGAGAGCGAGAGAATGATAGAAAGGAAAAATGATAAAAAGAAACATGATAAACTCAAAGATATAACAGGCGTCTCCTCCTCCTATCGCGTAACCGTTGGTGGGGGTCCAAGTCCTAACTTCCCCCTCAAATAACTATGCAGCGGTGCCGGCAGTGCTTTCGTAAAGATATCTGCGATGTTCTCTTTTGTCGGGACGTAATGGAACCATAACTTCCCGAGCTCGACATAATCCCGAACGAAGTGGTGTTTGATATCGATGTGCTTGCTCCGCTGGTGGTGTGATTGATCCCTCGTTAGCGATATCGAAGACTGGTTGTCGCACTGGATGACGGTCGCTGTTTTGGGTTCGAGTTCGAGTTGCGTGAGCAGGTTCCTGAGCCATAGTGCCTCCTTGCTCGCATGTGAGCACGCCATGTACTCCGCCTCCGAGGTTGAGTCCGCCGTAACGTCCTGTCGCTTCGAGCTCCAAGAAACAAGTCCCGATCCCACTCCCAGCGAGAAACCAAACCCAGATGTTGACCTTCGACTTCCCAGCGGTCCCGCCGCTCCGCCATAGCTCGAGTCCGTGAATCCGTTGAGCTCCAGAGGTCCAGTACCGCCCAGTCTAAGTTCCCAGTCACGCGTCCGCTTCAGGTACCTCACGATATGTATCGCTCCCTGCCAGTGATTCTTCCCCGGATTCGCGTTGAATTGGCACAAGAAGTTTACCGCGAAAGCAATATCCGGCCTAGTAGCAAGAGCAACATATAGAAGAGCGCCGATGAGCTGGCGGTAAGGAACCTTTGACATCGCTTCGATATGTGCCGTATCGTCCGCTGCCGGACAGTCCGCGTGCGATAGCTTGACGTTGTGGTCCAGCGGTGTGAGTACAGGATTCGCGTCTGTTTGACCGTATGTTTTGATAATGTTGTCAATCATCGATGTTTGGGAGAGGTAGATGGCTCGATTAGGTCGATCCCGGCGTACGCGTATCCCAACTATCCACTCGACGTCTCCGAGTTCTACGATTTCGAAGCGCTCTCGAAGTCCGGCCTTGACGGCCTGGATTTCTTTCCTCGTGGATCCCAGGACGTTCATGTCGTCGACGTGTGTTGTGATTATGCTGATTTTGTCGTTCGTGAACCTCCGGAAGTAGACTGACCATTCCGTGCTCAACCTCTCCCATCCCATCTCCACCAAACGTCCATGCAGTTCCTTGTTCCAATTCCTCGAACCCTGCTTCAAACCATACAGCGTCTTCTTCAATTCCCACACCCACGTCTCCTTCCCTTCCTCCTTAAACCCGTCCGGTTGTCCCATGAAACACTGCGCATCCATATCGGCATGTAGAAATGCGGTCTTGACGTCTAATTGTTCCATCTCGAGGTCGAACCTGGCCGCCAAGTCGAATGCGATCTTCTGGGATTCCATTCTAGCTGTCGGCGACGTCGTTTCGTTGTAGTCCTGTCCCTCGATCTGCGCGTACCCGCATGCCACAAATCTCGCCTTAAACTTCACAATTTCCCCTTCCGAATTCCGCTTCAGCGAGAACACCCACTTCCCCTTCAACACCTTCCTCCCTACCGGTACCGCTCCCCTCGGAACCAACTCGAACACCTTGTGTGCCGTTATCGAGTCGATCTCGTTCTTCATTGCTTGTAGCCACTTGTCCTTGTGTACGCTTTCGAGGACTTGTTTGAAGGTTTTCGGTACGTCCGGTTCCGTATCCGATTCCATGGCTGCGAATATGAGCTCCTCGAGTCCGGTACGCGCACTCGCCTGATCGTCCGGTAGAAACGTCGAAGCAAGGGATGCGATTTCTTCTTCGCTGAACGCTGGTATGTCAGGTAACTGATCCTCCACGATGAGAGCTTCGAGTGGGTCCTCTACTATTGTCGCAAGGGCCGGAGTCGCTTTCGGTGCTCGAGTCCTCTTTCCTGCCGCTTTCGCATAGTCAATGGGTTGGTCTGCGAGATTGCGTACCGTGGGTCCTCCTATCACCTCCGCCATTTCCTTCGAAATCCTAATCTCCTTCCCCAATCTCGCACTCCTCCTCACTCCACTATCCCCCTTCGTCGATTCCTCTCCGTCCTCTACCCTCTCCTCCTGTTCCTTCCCACCCTTCCATAATACCTCCGCCGGCACGTCCAACGTCCTCGCCCTCGGTTCCTCCTGCTGCCCTCTTTCCCTGTCCTCCAAATCACTGTCCTCCTCGTTCACCACGATCCCGGGCTTGTACTTGCGCGGTACGTCGTCTTGTGATTCAATAAAACGAACCTGTCTCGATACAACTACCCGCCTGGTTACGCGATCGTAAAGCCTGTATGTCTTTGAGTTTGACGAGTACCCGATCATGACGCATTCTCGTGAGCGGTTGAAAACCTTCGAAGGATCGAGATTGAGTACGAACGCCCTCGCCCCGATTTCTCTAAGATTAGAAAGATCCGGTTTCCGCCCAAACCATACCTCATATGCTGTTTTCCCCCCAAGAGCCTTGTGTGGCGACCGATTCTTGAGGTATGCCATGGTCATGATTAGCTCCGCCCAGAGTGTTGGTGGTAAGTTCGCATACGACCGGCACGCGCGTTCCATATCCCATAAGGTCCGATGCGCCCTTTCGCACTTGCCTATTTCCGAGGACGTGTATGGCGCCGTTGTTTGGAAGGTGATCCCCTTTCCCTTCAAAAAATTCCCCATCCCTAGCCTCTCAAACTCGCCCCCTCCATCCGTCCTCACAATCCTAATCCTATTCCCCGTCTGCGCTTCCGCCTCCTGAGCCCACGCATCGAAAACTGGTTGAGCACTGTCTTTATTCGTGATGGGGTACACGAAATACATCGACGAGAACTCGTCCACGATCATGAGGTCGTACACCTCTCCCTGTCTACCCTCCACCGCTATTGGCCCACACAAATCCGCATACACGATTTCCAACGTTCGTGCAGCCTTAGGTCCCGTCCTGACCTTCGGCACGGGTAAGCTGGCCTGTTTACCGAGGATGCAGTGTGGGCATGCGGATGGTAGGTTGTCAAGGGAGAGTGGCATACCTGCGGCGTGACCTTTCTGGGCTAATCCTATGACCGAGTCGATGTTGAGATGTCCCATCCGCCTGTGCCAAGTCTCGATCCCGACCGGCGCTTTGACGACCGCCGCGTATTCCGTAGGTTTGACTGTTCGTCCCAGAACACGATAGAGATAGTTCGAGTGTCGTACCGCAACGGAAACGATCTTGTTCGGCGATTCTTCCGGATGGACCGTAAGTTTCCCCTTCGAAATTCGAACATCAAGGCCTTCGTTGTCGAGTCGCCCGACAGACACGAGTCGAATAGCGGCTTCCGGGATATACAGGGCGTCGCGTAGGTGTAGAACTCCACCAATCTCCCCGTTCATCCTGATCGCCACCGTCCCCTTGAATCTTGCGTTGATCGTTGATCCGTTAAAGCCCCTGATAGGTCGTTCCGGGATTTCGCACAGATCCAGGAAATCTTCGCGTACTGGTGAGCAATGGATGCTGCTGCCGCTATCCATATGGAATCCCGAGACTTCCACCCCGTTGTCCTGTCGCATGTGCAGGCTCCAGTCCACAGACACCCTGTCCATCCCGACCTCCACCAGCGCATACGACCTCTCCACGTCATGCTCCCTCTCATACGCTCCCCCAAACTTCTGACAATACGCATCGAGATCTCCACCTATCATCTCGATCGCGATATTCGTCCCCTCAGCCTCATCTCCTCCTGAACCCCCAGGCCCACCTCCACCTTTGGTCGGTTCCCCAGCCGTACCTCCAGTGTTGGTTGCCCCCTGGTTCGACCTCATATCCTCCGCCGCGTGTGCACCACCCGAGCTAGGTCCCCGGCCAAGGGGACCGTCTCGAGTTCCACCTGCCCCCTCTCTCTTGGGCTTCCCATATTCCCTTCTCACCATTCCCCCTGCCATTATCGCCGCCTCGTTCTTCTCCTTCAACCTCCTAATCTCGTCTTGCGGCATGCCAAACTTCTTCCAGCAGTCCGAAGCTTTGTGCGGTCCAGCGCAGTGGGAACACCTCGTCATTGGTGTGGCGGTGGCGGCATGGGCGTGATCGGATTCCTCGTCGTATTCGTAGTCCGTGTTTGCGAATCCGTCGCGATCCTCCGTGTAATTTGCCCGACCTCCTCCTGTCGACGTGCCCTCCTTGTTGCGTTGGTCGAGGTTCTTTATGGCGTCTCGGCATTGGCTCACCGTCACCTCCCCTCCAGTTTCGAGCGTGGTGCGCATATCGTTGCAGTATGGCCTCGTCGCCGTCATCGTCCCTGCGCACCACAGGCTGTCTTTGTCGAGCGGTCCGGCATCCACGATCATCCCCGCGATTTCTCCAATCTGCTCGAAAATGTCCGCGTTGTTGCTGTGGCGTTTCGAGAAGTTGAAGCCGAGGAGTTGCCGCAAGAGCAATACTTGTTTCATCACCCCCTTCCCTGTGTGCAACTTCCTCAACATCCCCCAAAACTCCGCCGCCGTCGTAAACTCCACACCCAACTGCGTCATCTCCCTCTGGCATTCCCTACTCATCGTCCCCCAGACCAAGTCGATGACTTGTCTATCAACCATCTCCATCGCCTCGGCCTCCTCGTCCGTACTTGCCATCGCTCTATCCATCCTCACCCTCGCCCCGACGCCCGACGTGTTCAACACATTCATCGTCTGCGGTTCCCACTCCACGAAATTCTCCCTGTTGAGCGGCTTGATCTTCGCCGACCCCGACATGAACATCTTCGTGAATTCCTGGATATGTTTCTGGACCCGGGCCCGTGCACCATCGGATAGCGATGAATAGACTCCCTGCCCCCCCTTCGCGGTGATCCTGGCCCATAAGTTGTCGCCGTGTTCGGTCGAATCCTTGTCCTCAGACTTGATTCGACGTGACCGGTTGTGCGGCGTGGGAGTAATGGAACGTCCGCGTCGGTTGGGATGAGGAGTTGAATGGAAAGGTGGGTTGTGTCGTCCTTGATGGGGGGGTCTGTCACGATCGTCGTACTCATACTCCTCCTGACCCTCCTCGTAACCCTCCTCCTGACCCCGTGTGGCGTAACGTTCGTCTGGCATCGATCGTTCACGGCGATTGTCTGGTCTTGGAGCTGGGTCACGTCGCCAACGGGGCGAAGGAGACCGGGACAGATGGCTAGTCTGCCGGATCCCCTTCGGCGTCGGCTGGCGAGACGAGTTTCCTCGCCTCTGTGGCGGGACATACCTAGGATCATCCTCCGAATCGCGGACTGCGAAAGCAGTTTCGACCGTTCGGGATCCGATCCCGGTCGTCCTACCTCGGGTTTCATCAGCATGATCTAGGGGGGTCGAACCCCGTCCATCACGCAGTCTACTCCCATGGTTCGAACGCGTCTGCGTGGCCCCATCGTCAACGTAGCCCGCCCCCTCTGGACGCACTCTACCATCAACGACAAGTTCAGGATCAGGTGCATCTCCATGCTCCATCATTTCCCGTTGACCACCTCGATCCACGCCATCAGCTGGAGAGGCTGAGACGCGTGGTGAGTTGACGACTTTCCCCTCTTCCCCCTTCTGTTCCCGCGTCGAATGCCCGTGCGGGGCGTATAGCGTGGGCGGCGCGGAATGGTAAGTGGGTAGGGTTTGTAGATGCTCTTCTTCTGCAATAGCGATGTGTTGTTGTTTTTCTGTACTTATTTGGGGTTCATGAAGTGGATCCGAGAGTGGCGGCTTATGGCGTGGCGCCGGCGCGTGCAAGAATTCGAAGTCGTCGTATGAGTCGATAATGGAATTTATTGTGTTTTCCTGTTTTAACTGAGAATGAGCAGTACTGGGTTCGTGCGAATGAGAGCGAGCGTGCAAGTTGGCGTGAGCGTGCGAAGGAGTGCCGGCGAGAGAACGAGTTTGAGCCGGCAAGTCCAAGTCTACGACATGATCCAAGGAAAAATTTTCGTCAAAGTCGATTAGGGGTGCCGTTGGATATGTCAAATTGTCAAGAAATGCGAGGTCCACAGCTGTGAGATTCGTCAGAGTTGGCGGGTCAAAGACCGTGCCTCCAGAGTCCAAAGATTGTTGTGCACGCCGGCCCCGTTGGCGCGGCGATGCGAGTCCTGGTGTAAAAGATCGTTCCATAGCGAGAGCCTCGGCTCAAAAATTCCTTTCGAGAGTTTCAATGATAGACAAGCTAGCTGGCTAAGTGCATTCAGGGCCCATAACCTATTAGAACCAGGGCACCCAAGATACAAGTAGAGACCAAGAAGAAGGTAAGATCTATTAAGACGCGAGACGCGTCTACTAAACCAACATGATCTAATCTAATCTAATCTACGTTATGATGTTCGTATTGCCTTCACATACTCCAATAAGTCACACACCCAAATAACTGTGCAATGAGATCTCAAAGACATGATGTCTTGGCCCGAGCGAAGGAAATTACGAACGCGCGACTTAAGGAAATGCAGCTCACGCGTGAGCTGCATGCGAGTGGCCCTAACTATGTGGCGCAAAGAGTCCCGCGCCTTACAAATAATAACGAGGACACCCCATCAGTTCTAGCAAAAATCTCATTAGAAAACAAAGGTATTTGCATGTTATATAGCACTGTTTCAATAAATCTATGTGAGTGCTGTGTCCTAGAGCGATTTCACAGTGGGGAGACTGTAGTCGCCGATTGAACTGAGATATGGCTAGGCCGGCCCGGTAGCCGGTACTCACCCACTCTTGCTCACAAACATATAAGTACAGGAGAGCAGCAGAGTTACATTCTGTTATTTTATTTGTGTAGATACATCATATAATAACACATATATGTGATCCCAGAAATTGCTTGTAGACGCGAGCCTAGGTATAAATTGGTCAAGTATATTGAGCTTGAGACGACTCATAAGGCAGCCGGCACTTACCGGATCCTTCCACACCACTTATTCCCGAAACGGATTGACTCGGACACAATGCTCTTTGCACACACTTAGCTTGGACTCAGAGACTCTACTGTTCCTTGATACTGCTTTCAAATCGTGTCCTTGGTCCATATGATATACAGTATTTTGACCATAGCTCAGGCTGATTTCGTATGACCCTATCCGAGGCTGACAGAAGTGATCGAAAGATCCTCCATGGCGGCCATTGTCTGACGGGCCACGCAAGCGTTTTCGCCTCTTGCTCTTTGACGACGACGTTTCTCGCTTTTTCTTGTGTTCCCGCCCCCAAATGAACGGTCCTTTTAGAGAGGTACGGCTTGTTTCTGATCAGATAGATGCCCATATTCATCTCTTCCGAGTCGCTGTGTCATGTAGCATGACAGTAACGAATATCAATACCAGAACGGCCAAGGACACTTTGCTCCAAACTCCGGGTACTCTTCACCCGAAGAGTACATAATGTGTCAGTATATGCTACCCCCTCCTCTTTCCCGCTCTGCTTTTTCATGACATGAAGCTCTACAGCGACGTCCGGTGGCGCTGGATCGTCTTCTCAGTGGCAAATGGGTAGCTCTAATTCTGGCGGGAACTTGAGGGCCTCGGTATGTGTACATCTGCTTCAATATTCTCTTGTCTATTTTACAGTGCTGATCTTTCTGGAGGCTTCGACCGCCCAGCTATCCCCGCTTGGTACTGGCTCTGCAGAATATTGTGGCACACAACCTTCATACACTCAGATTCTATATGAGCGAGACATGCTCCAAGCGCAAGTCCAGGCTCTTCAGTACGCCCTCCCACTTCTCCTAAAGATCAATTTCTCCAACGTCTCACTCACTCTATACTGATCACTACGCAAACTCAGGTTTGCTGTGGCCCAACTTTCCCATCAGCCTCATCCATCTTCCCTCCGCCCTCTCACAGTTACCGAACGTCCCAAACTGGAAGAACTGCCTCTAATCACAGCATATAGTCCCGACTCCATCGCATTCTTCAAGAAATGGTTCCCCGGCATTCTCTTTATCGCCAAATCGAGTTGGACACAAAGCAACATCCATCCGAGAAAACGTCTCCAGGTCACAGATCCTGACGCACCGAAATGCAAGAAAGGCCCTTCTCAAGCAAGCGAAAACGTCAATGTGCAAGCAGCATATATGGAGGGACCGGACGGTGATACTTTGGGAGGGCATATGGTCCAGGAGATTCGGAACTACCACCGCACGTGCTTCGCAGGTATGAAGGAGCGAGGAGAGGCGAGGTGGCTGTCTAGTGACCTGACCGAGGGTACGATGACACGCTTCTGCGAGGACTCTGCGAAGAGGTTCCCGGTCGTACGCTTATGTGTCGATGGATGGAAGGCGCGAGAGCTCCTTCGAAAGGCTTGGCCGGGATGGGCGCAGGACCACCTCCCGGATCTTAACCCCGCTGGTCTGGGTAAGAGCAAGAAGGGCAAGAGAGCAAAGGCGGAGAGTGTCCTAGACGATTCAGATCCAGAGACTAACGAGATGACTCAGATAGACATGAACTCACTCATCCGGATGCCAGCCAAAGACGAAGATAAAGAAGCTGTTTCTGTGGTCGCCACTCTTACGGGCCCGCCACCCTCTCTTCGCGTTGACCCCGCCATCCCTGTAATCATTGCTGCACCTCTTTTTCCCAGCGTTGTTGCTCATGCACCACCATCGTACGTCATCTCCTCTCACAAAGTTCAAGCCCATCTTCTGAAATATTTCCTAGTGCGAGCTCATCCGGAGCAATTGACTTTGCACGTCATCGCGACAATACTTCTGAACCTCACGACATCGTCAACACCATTCCGTCCACCGAACAAGATGTTGGCTGTGACAGCTCGGTTGATATCAGTGGTGCGTCTCTTTCCTCTGACGTGTATTCCGAGTCTCTGGTTCAAATAAAGCGACAGTCTCGACAAGTCTAGCAAAACGGACTCGCTCAGTCTCCGATGCTGGGAACAATGTTCCGGCATCGGATGATGAGTCGGTCAAGCGCCGCAAACTGGAGCCTGCTTCTGTTGCTGATACTACATCTCAAGATGATACACCACGCGCATCATCTTCGGCGACTCCCACAGCGACAGCATTGTAAGTCCCCTTGTGTACTTCATGCCTCAGGCAGTCGTCCCGTTCACTGACCTTTCGGTTGCAGTTCGTCATTTGTGTTTAAACGCCTCCACCCCACACCTATCCCGATCTTTGTGGCCCCAGGGTCATCTGGTACGTTCGCGTGGATATATATGTAACTGACATTTCTTATCTATTTTTGCAGAAGGTTCCCGGCCTCCGACAAAGGTTCGTCAGATTATATCTATACTAATCTGAGCTCAATCTTACTCTCCTCCAAGGCTTCGCATGCAGGATCCTCAAAGCCTGCGAAGAAAGTCAAGCCGAAGGTCGTGGCGGCGGACCTGCCCATCTATCCCTCGGAAAATGTAGTCACTGCAAGGTAGGCCCATTGAACAGCCTTTCTGGACGACACCTTCTCATACTCCCTTCTCATACTCGGTTTGCTCAACCTGTGCAGGCAACTCCAACTTCGAGAGTGGTTAGATACGCAAGAAGTTGGCGCTACAAAGGCGCAATTTGCTGTGTTCTCCTCGTCAATCACAAAGGAGGTCATGAAGGTAAATACCCTCGTCGTTTACTCACCTTCTCCTATACTTATTCCATCGTACCTTCAGGCCGATAATAAGAGGATTGCCGACCTCGTAAGTCTCTTTTACAGCATCTCCGTTAACAATATACTTACAACACTCATATAGAAAGCTCAAGGTGTTACAACCTTGGGCGAATGGAAGCACCCGACGCACAAGTGATCAGTATCGGTGAGTATTTCGTTTGGGTACCCATCCTCTTGTTCAGATCCAGTTACAACGTTATGTTTGCAGCGTCATCGTCAGCCTCAGGCCGCCGCGGCCCTTTCGCACACATGCAACCCAACCTCTTTCAATCCTTTTTTATTATACCATTGTTATCGCTTTCACTTGGCAGTAAACACGCATGCTGGTCTCTTTCTCTCAGCTCATGTCTTTTCTTGCACGATGTCTCTTCGGTTATGTAACATGTTTGTGTCAGGGACGCTCTCTCTACCAATTGTTCACGCTTTCTTTCCCGGATCGATACACAGATATTCACACTTTTCACTTATAACTCTTCTGCATGGTGTACTTCAAGGCCTTCGGTGTTGTCTCAGTGTATAGTAGGAGGGAAAGGAGCTAGGTGGGATGGGGAGCGGGGAGCGGGTGGCGGATAGGGTGGCGGGGAAGGATAACAAATAAAAATGATTTCACGATCCAATCGCGTGCCGGGTCCGTACCAAATCGGGGAGCAGACGGCCAATGGCAGTGAATGGCCACGAAACGTGTACGCGCGCCGCCCGTACCATTCAGCGTCGTCTGACGGTAAAATTGTGCGATTCAGGGCGATTCACCCCGTAGGTCGCCCTCAATCGCCCTCAATCGCCACAAAACGACCGAGTTTTCACTGGGTCTGATCAGTGATCGGCGATTATGACGTTCGACTTGGGCCACAGTGGCGTCCATAACCAATCAGCGTTCTCGAATCTGGGTCGGACACACCCAGGCTTATTCCGAACTTCCACTAACGACACTATATCCAGCACTGCTATGCTTTCTGAAGTATAAGTAATAGAGATGCTCTGCAGTTCAACTGCAGGAACATGGATGTCAATCCACACTGCAAGCTCGATATCACCGGCAGCGCTCTCGTAGTGACGCCCGACCTGTCGACTCCTTCCATGAACACGCTGGGCGCTCACTGTTGCAATCTTCTCTCCAACCAACATGGCACTCTCGTACTCCGATATCTTCAGTCGCGATATAGTACTGACTTTTCTGGGTATTTGTGCTCTCGGTGGTTCATACACATGGCTTCAACGCAGGTCCAAGGGCAGTCTCCCGCCTGGGCCACGTCGGCTTCCTATCATTGGTAGTCTCCTGGAAATGCCGAGCGATCATGAATGGCTGGTATATGAGCGATGGGCGGAAGAAAAAGGTGAGTTGTATGTAAATGTTCACTTCACTCACTCTAACAAGGAAGCGATTGCGTGGCCTGATCAGGCAGTGACCTCATTCACTTCGATGTTCTGGGTACAGATATAGTCGTATTGAGATCACTGAAGGCTGCCAGCGAGCTGTTGGATAAGAGGTCTTCCATATACTCTGACAGGTTCTCGTCATTATGCTTTCAACTGAACACCACTGTCTCATGCAATACATTGTTTAGGCCTTTTACCCCTGCCTTGTCCGTTCTGTGCGTACTTTCTCGGTCAATCTGCGACTCACTTGAAAATTTATGAATCACACTGTTCGACAGTCTTGGATTTGACTGGGTCTTGGCATCGTTTCCTTACGGAGAGAAGTTTAGAGCAATGCGAAAAGCATTCCATACTTCCTTCCAGCCTTCGGTGGTGAAAGTGAGTGTTACATCATGGTAATCTTTGGTTGCTTTGACTTACCTGCCAACCCCATTCGTCTAGGATTATTATCCACTTCATCGCAGAGCAGCTCATCAGTTGCTGAAAAACATTCTCAGCGCACCTGATGAGACCCCACAACATCTCCGATAGTGAGCATCTATATTACTTTTCGTACACTAAGTCATATTTACTATCTGACGCGTCGACCTCGACAGTATGGCTGGAGGCGTCATTCTAGACATCGCGTATGGTATCAAGACCAAGCCTCGTGATGATCCATACGTCGAGGCAGCAGAGCGGGCATTGTCGGCTGTTACAACCGTTGTGTCTCCCTCCGCCCGTTTGTTCGATATGTTCCCGATGCGTAAGTGCCAGTTTGGCTCATCTTACATACCGATTACAACAACACTCGTGGTCTCATCACTACATTGTATCCGTAAATAGTGTTGTACATGCCTTCGTGGGTTCCTGGAGCTGGTGTAAGTGACTTTATAATCGATTGCGAACTGGTGCAATACTAATCATGGAGCAGTATAAGAAGACAGCGAAATTTTTGCAAAATTATAGCCGAGATATCCTGGAGAATCCGTTTCAATTCACCAAAGAAGCTTTGGTCGGCGTTCGTGTTCGCTTTCATCAAACTTCAGCCACTGATGCATTTCTGTCGTAGGCGAACGGAACGGCCTCCCCTTCCATTGCTACTACAATGCTGAGCCAGCTCGGCAAGAATTCGTCTCAGGAAGACGAGCTTCTCGCCAAACAGCTTACGGCCAACGTGTACATTGCAGGTGCTGATACGGTATGGTTTTTGACTGGCACACGATATTTGATTTAACGAGCGTTTCTCTGGGCGGGTGGAAGACCGTATGCGCCATCCAGAACTTTCTCCTCGCCATGATGCTCTATCCCGACACACAGCGGAGAGCGCAGACTGAGCTTGACTCCGTCATCGGATGTGACCGGCTTCCTGACCTTTCCAACATAGACGCGTTGCCATATGTTAACGCTTTGGTGTTGGAAGTATTGAGGCGAGTAGCTTTTCGCGTTGCGTGGTCACAACTCGAGCCTGATTAATGGTGGGGTAGATGGGGTGTAGTGGCCCCTCTAGGTACGATGCTCACCGAAAAGGGTTTGATCGACTGCGTGTGTTGACGGCGTTCGTGTGTTATAGGGTTTCCTCATCGCTTGATGGTAAACGATTCTTACGAAGGGTATTTTTTGCCCAGGGGAAGTTTATTTATAGGGAATATCTGGTAAGTTTGTTTCAATCAGGATCTCGATATCTAAATACTTCTCATATCTTGACAGGGCTATGTTGCACGACAAGTCGGTATACGGGGTCGACGCGCAAGATTTCAACCCACAGCGTTTTCTCGATCACGATTTGCCTGAACCCGACGTCGTTTGGGGCTTTGGAAGGCGAGTTTGTCCAGGTAAATGTCGCCATTTTTTTATGTGTTTATCTGCCTGACGATTACTGGATAATATGAAGGAAGGCACATGGCACGCGATTCTGTGTGGCTAGCAATCGCGTCCATTCTGGCAACATTCAACATCAACAAGGCCTTGGACGAGAAAGGGGAGGAGATAGAGGTCGTTGATGACCATATCTCTGGGATCGTAGCGTGAGTTGGCCGGTTCCTCGACATTCAATGATATGAGTGGGGTACTTACCGTGTGCTAATTCTAATACGGCAATATAGATATCCCGTACCGTTCAAGTCTGAGATCACGCCCCGTTCAGCCGATTCTGTGATGTTGATCCAGTCGACTGAAATATACGATTAGCTCTCTCAACGGCATGTTCGGCTCTGAGCAATCACAATACAGTCTCACTTTTTGACTGCGACGCCACACGCGTGATCAGCTTGGACGGGCATGATCTCATGCCCCTTCACCAAGATATTGAAATGTTTGGGGAGCACGACATCAAAACAGTAGACGGTGTCAGTTCCGCTATCGTGCCCTCAATGGTTTCATTGCCTGATGAGTCCTTCACATCCCACAGGTCGGCGATATTGCTAACGGCGCTGCCCAGCTCCGCCCCCGTCTACAGAAAACGGGACAATATGGGGCCGTCAGACGATTGTTGGTTTCAGTGGGGCAACGAAGCTCACGAAGACCTTCACCCTCTTCGCATTTGTGGCCTATGCTTATCGTCGAATGCGTACGACGAGTGAAGATCACTACTGACAGTACGCTCGTGACCACTCTGGGCGTTTGATATCACAGAAAAACCCACACCACCAAGGATAGTGTGGTATTTTTCTCCTACATATATCTTAGCCATATTTCCGATGCTTCGATGCACCTTGACCGTGACCGATAGCATACTTCGGTTTTATATCACTTGGATCAATCACCTGCCTATCCATAGGATGCTTTTGGTGCTCGACGGTATGTCCACAACGTCATGAGAAGTTTTGTCCGGGTGCTTTGATGACAATAGACAACGCCACTGTCTTCCACAGTATTCCCACCCGTAACAGTGACTGGTCAAATGTCCTCTGATACCCATGAACCCGCCCACGGCATCATAACCATAAAGGCCAATGTTCTTCACCAAAGACGCACGACGGCCACGTACTCTTCTTTTGACATGATCACCGGCAACTTCTTGCTTACTTGTGCTCTTGCCTTCTGCATTCTCGTCGGATGCTGTCTGAGGAGAGGAAAAGCTATGGTGCATGCAGGCAAGAGGTTACCTCCCGGGCCACCGCGTCTTCCGATCATTGGAAGTCTGTTCACAATGCCCAAGGACCACCAGTGGTTGGCGTACGCGAGCTTGGGCAGAGAGCATGGTGGGCTCTGTTAGTTCAAAGCTTCGATCTGACCTCTTGCTGACCGGCTCCGTTTCTCAGGCAGTGACATCGTTCATTTTGATGTTCTCGGGAGCCATGTCGTAATAGTGAACACCGCCAAAACCGCGCACGAGCTGTTTGATAAACGGTCTGCGATATATGCAGATAGGTGAGGTTACTGATCTTCAAGTCTGCTTCGTGGCTGACGATCGTGTGATAGGCCGTTTTTTGCATCTCTAAGAATTTTGTCAGCGGAATATTTGAGTCTTCATGTTTATCGATATCTGACTATGATTTATGTTCGCTAGGCTAGGATATGATTGGATTATAGGCTTTACTGAGTATGGAGAATGGTTGAGGACTATGCGCAAACATTTCCACACGTTCTTCCAACCCGCTGCAGTAACCGTAAGCGTTCCGATCATAAATCGAGAAAACGTCTCCTCTTCTCATTCTGTGAACCAGGAATATCGACCACTACAAACGAAAGCAGTTCATCAGCTTCTGCGGCACCTCATACGCAAGCCCAAGGACTTTTCTTGGCATCTTCGACAGTAGGTTCAGATCGTACATATATAAATGACCGCATGCTGACTTGAGCGTACGTGAAGCATGACAGGAACGATAATAATCCGTATCGCATATGGACTCAAGGTTCAGCCCATCAACGACCCCAATGTCGAAATAGCAGAAAAGGGCCTACATGCCGTCTCCACCGCTTCTTCTCCTGGAGCGGCCATTTTCGATCTGTTCCCGATGAGTATGGCCCTGCGTGTATTGAATGTTCCTCTGCTGTGCTGACATTGCTCTCAACCAGTGCTTCACGCACCGTCGTGGTTTCCAGGGGCAGGTGTAAGCACTAGGTCCACACAAGTCGACGCCAGGATCTCACATTTGGGTATCTTATAGTACAAGAAGGACGCAAAGATGATGCGACATTACAGTGATGACATGCTGGAAGTGGCTTACCGCACTGCGAAAGAGGCTATAGTATGTTATCCCACTCATCGTCATCGACATCGTTCATTCTGATATTCTTTGTACTAGGGCAACGGCACCGCGTCGCCCTCTGTCACTGCGTCCATGATCAGCCAACTAAACGAAAAGCTCTTGCCTGAAGGTGAAACAATTGTCAAACAACTCACTGGTAACATGTGAGTGAGCGCTTCACTGGCTTCAAGTGGTCTGACATTCAAGAAAACCCGTCGTGTAGGTATCTTGGTAAGACTTCGCCTTCCTTACAGCAGTTCTTATTGGTTTTTGATCGCAAAGCTGTGGTATAGGGGGAGCTGACACGGTAGAGTCACTCATCCCATGGATTAACCCTATTCTTTGCTAACAACTCGATCTCTAGACGGTCTGCGCCCTCGAGATTTTCTTCCTTGCCATGTTGCTCTATCCAGATTCCCAAAGAAAAGCTCAAGCGGAAATCGATGCCATCGTCGGGACGGATCGTCTTCCGTCTTTCGAGGACCAGGACTCTCTACCATATGTTCACGCTCTGATGAAGGAGACGTTGAGGTAAGACTCGGAGTTGATCTCCTCAAGTTTGGTCCGCTAACGTTAACTGTGAACAGATGGCATAACGTTACACCCTTAGGTATCACCTCAATCTATACAGGTTCTATTACGCCCATGGACATTATTTGACAAGCCATTAGGCATTCCGCACCGCCTTACAACCGATGACTTTCTAGGGGAGTATTTTCTTCCCGCTGGTGCAACTATTATAGGTAATACCTGGTGAGTGGTATCTCCATTGACAATGCGTCCGTACCGCTCCTTTAACCTCAAGTAGGGCCATCATGCACGACGAATCAGTTTATGGTCCGGACGCACCTGCCTTCAGACCTGAACGTTACTTAGAAGTAGACCTCCCTTATCCTGAGGTTGCTTTCGGTTATGGACGTCGTACTTGTCCAGGTAAGGGCCTACTGGAGTAAACTTACTATTACGAGCTTCGAGTTCAAGCTCTTCTTCAATCCTCCAGGCCAGTATCTAGCCCGCGACTCCGTATGGATAGCAATAGTTTCTGTTCTAGCCACCTGTGATATAACGAAGGCGGTCGATGAGCATGGCAAGGTCATTGAGCCGACCGACGATTGCGTGTCTGGTATCGTGGCGTAAGAAACCCTCGGATCATTTATTGTCTTACACCTATTTCTGACTATTGAACTATTGCGCTAAACCGTATAGATACCCTCTGCCTTTTGCATGCAATTTCAAACCGCGATCTGTTGCTGCCGAGAGGTTGATAAGCTTGACAATCGACCAAGTAGATGACTGACCGCCGGCGGGCTCGGAGGGGGAAGGTTTGTAGGTACATTGGAGGATCAGAGAGGTAAGACAGTCTCGATGGCTTCCTTTCCTGATGATCCATAATGTTATGCTTTACGATTCGCATTGAACACATTGGACGATAATATATCATATCACGGTGGAGTACTTGGTACATAAAAAGACAAAGGAAGGTATGGCGGCGATAAACGCAAACGTGAGGAGAGAGTGGTAAGGAACGAGGGAATGTGCAAGATAAATACAAGGCTCTGAGTGCTCATGCTGAAGGTACAACATGAGGACAGATATGAGACTCGATAGATAACGGTCATGGATGTCGTCACAGAAATATATAGGAAGAGAGGGCATGTGAGAATATAATATATAGATAGGAACGATTAATGAAAATAGAGGCGCTGACCAGCCAAGCGGCGATTAGAAATACAGAACTACTGATACAAGACTTCCTTGGACATCTTCGAATGTCCTCAATGCTGAGTAGTATACACGTCGTAAAGATGAAGGGAGACATAGAGGCCGGGATGCGCCAGAATTTGAATCCGTTATACGATGTGGGCAGGTTTCGGTACGTTGAGTGAAGGAATGACGGGGAGCACGCAAATTTCGCTATCGTGAGAGCCATTGACCAACGTGTCACTTGTCATCGTAAAAGGAAGGTCCTGAACAGTTCCGGGCGGTATGTCACGATCCACTGGTTCGACAGACACAGTATCCTGGGACTCGATAGAATGAGGCCGAGGGTCCTGCCAAATCCAGAGAGGTTCGCGGAACCTAACAAGAAGAGGTAGGATCAGCAAAAACCATGCAAGGAATACGTAGGGAGATGTGAGCACTTAGGTGGAGAGTTACGGGGCTGGGGAACGTCTTGTCTCAGAAGACGTTTTCTAATCCACCAGACGAAAACTCGAGCCTCCTTAGAAATATCAGGATGACAGAGGTAAAAGACGGAGCAGAATACGACAGTGCATGTTGCGACAGTCACAGCATTGAGGGTGAGATCAGCAAAGTGCTCGTTCGTGACGGACTCGGAGGTATAGGTGTCGATTAAGGATAGTTGTTGAGTAACGTCCGATAAGGCATTGAGAGGGCGATAGTTAGGCACGGCCACCAAAAAATCCAACAGTGTAGTCGCAGTGATCATAGTCGTATCATATACGCTCGCGATGATGAAGGCGATCACACGCATGCGGTTGGCGAGGTCGAGAACTGTGAACGTATCGATACGGGGTCTTATTACCGCCCACCAACGAATCACGACGAAGACTTGCTCAATATGTCAGTGAAGAAAATCGGTTACATCCGTAGGCTGAACAACAAACCAGCGTAGACAATGGTGAGGAGTGCCAAGACTAGAGGGGGGCACCAGATGAAAAGAATTGACAAGGACGTGACGAACGTTGATGGTCGACAACCGAAGTCTTCGATGACGGCGAAACGGCGAGACTGAAACGCGCAGTCTTCCGATGGGGGTCAGCCGTGCATGCGAGGTCAAGAAATAGGGGGGCGTACGGATGGCCATAATGGCGAGAGGAAGACCAAGACATAGTGCTGCTTCTCGATATTGCGTATGGCGCCGACGCCGATACGCTTCAGTCGGGGTTATCTCGTCGGCCTTGGACACTAGCATCGCCAACCTCATACAGAACGCGAGACACGTAGCAGCCAACGCGGTAGGCCATCCAACCATGAGCTTTGTCGCTAAGATGAAATGAGATAGATCCTTGTAGATGGAGAAAACAAACATGGAGTACTCACTAATATCACACCAGACGGTGGCAACCTTGTCCACATTGTTGGCCCATACAATCGCGTCAACGGCGTAGGTGATATCGAGACACAACAGCCACAGGATGTGAGCGACCATTGCAACATTGCCACTACGCAAGTAGTAGAACAGCGGCAAGGGTAGAGAGATGATGCTTAAAAAAGATAGAATTGGGATCTCGGGACGCATTCGGGGCCCGCAGCCTAAGGGAGAGAGAGATTGTGGAAGCAGGAAAGAAAACAGTAGAAGGGAATAGTTCTCGAGATTGAACGCAGCGCCGACTTTTGTACGGGCCCTGGCATATATGTACATCAAATCTGTATGTTGAACATGCTATGTCAGCATTGGAAAAACCATGGCCAACCGTATCGGATGCTATCGGATGCGGTATGTTAGTAAAGAGCAGTCCAAGTTTGGACGCAAGCAAGATTTCTGAGCAATCAGAGTGCGCGAGAAGCACCGGAATCGGGAATATATCAGCCCGGTGCTGATGCCACCCCGTCCGGTATACACGACGAGCAGCTTGTCCTTGTTCCTCCAACCATGATTCAGAGCACTCTCAATGGCCTCTGGATATAGTGAGAATTCAAATTGAGTCGTATTTATTGTCTTTTTTTTTTTTGCCAATTTTTTGCGGTAGTCGGCTAGCAACACCAGGCAACACCGCTCGGCTCCGCATCATCCCGGCCCCGAGGCCAACGCAGTAGAACACGACTTGCGACTTCCTTACGACGTCGTGCGCTCTTCGAATTCTCTTGCGATGTGACTCAAAGAGAAACAAAGCTCCTGAGCCTCGCCGAGCACGACATCGAGCAACTAACCCTCAAGAGTGCCATTCCGTCGATTGCGATAGACAGCCCGAGGATCATCTCAGAACGCCGGTACCAGTCTCAAAACGAATATGGCATTCATGATCAGGCGACTCACTTATCGGTTCAGGTTACACCTCTTGAGCTAGGCTAACACTGCAGCTGGGCTCTGCTGAGCTCCTTTGAGTGATTGCGATTCAAGATCGTTCCCCCCGAACTTGATCTAAGCGTACAATGACTCAAGTGCAATATATCATGAGCAATATATATATATTAAAATACAGAACATACGATGCTGGGCATGCGAGAGCAAGGATATGACAGCTTTAACGAGGAAGGAATGGGATAGTGGGAGACATAGGACGACCGGCGTAGATAGAAGTAGGATGATACACAAAGTTAGTGTACACATCAATATATAAAAACATTTACTCGAGAGCAGGCAGGAGAAACTGGAGGGAAAAGGAATGTGAGGATACAGATCTAGGACGATTTGTACAGAAGATAAATAGAAAATGAACGCATGAGATGAGCTAGTGATACAAGCTTGTTGACTTCTTCGAGAAAGCGTGAATAGAAAGACATGTTGTTCGTGGTGGGTGGTCTTGATCATCAGGCTATCAAAGATCGTGGCAGACAAAAAAACCAGAAAGCGAGGAAAAGCAATTAAGGACGTGGATGGAAAGAAGAGAAGAGGAGCCTGTCGAGGTCTTGAGGTATTTCAGTGGGCAGGGAGTCCTCCTCAAGCTATTGAATGGCCTGAAGGCTTCACGCCCGGGACGGCAGGGAGAATATCACCATCATCGCGTTCACGCCGGTCGTTATCGAAGGTCTCAGAGGTCCTCGTAGTCGAACGACTCGGAAGGTCAACCCTGGTATCCTGGAGTTCCACATGCGTAGTCTGCGGCGAGTGCGTAGCCCGCGCAAATTGAAGGGCACGACTCGTCCTATGACGAGGAAAATTCAGCTGTATTCCGAAAAGACTAAGAATTGAACTCACAAATACAAAGATCCAGGCTGGCCGTCGGTGTCCAGTTCATCGGGCAGGTCTTGTCTCATCACTAGAGCCTTGATGGAGCGGAAGAACCTACGAAATAGCTTCGCAATATTGCCGTGACAGAAGTAGAACACTCCGACGAAGGCCACAGTAGGATACAAAACGAGCAAATACGACAAGTTAAGATATGCATAGTGGTTCGGGGGAGCAGAGTCGAAGGAAAACGTGTCGATGCGAGAGAACTGCCAAATGTTGCCACGTAGGTCCGCCAGGGGCTGGTAAAATGGAACAGAGACGGCCAGATCGAATATCATGACGGCCATGACCACGACCGCTTCGACGACAGCCAAGCAGACGTGAAGCGAAAGACGCGTCCATACTTCACTGGGTGGGCTGATTCCTTCGAGTTCGATCCATCTTTGCCTTATGAACCGGGCTACCAGTGCTAGAGATATCGAATCAGGACACATATGCTACACAAGAGATGTATTGCGTGGGACGCACCGGCATAGAACATTGCCAACAGGGCCATGACCATTGGAGGGCACCAAAGAAGAACGACAGACAACCAGGTGACAAAGATAGAAGGAAAGCAGCCGAAGTCCTCGTTAATGTCGAAACGATGTGTTTGGAACGCGATGTCTACCAACATGTTCTATGGATGAGTAGATGAAGGAAGAAGAGGGAGGGAACCATACGAATTAGCATAACCAGGATAGGAAGACCGAGGCATAGAGCACATCCGCGAAACTGCCTCAGGCGCTTGCTTCTCGCGTTGTCTCTATCCAAACCGCGAGTCAGGTCGTGGAGTTGCATAGAAAAACAGAGACAATATGCGGAGAGCGCTGTCGGCCACCCAACAAGGATCTTTGATGCTGTGTGCGGGTAACATGGATGTCAGTCGTATACAGCACGAGAAGATGTGAAGGGAGAACGGCTGACATATATCGCACCACCCCGAGGCAACGATGTTCACATTGCCTGCCCAAATGATGGTGTTCACGATGTAGATGAGGTTGAGAATAACAATCCAGAATATGAATATTATCGTTGAGGCGAACTTCGTTCGTAGATGGTAGTAGGTCGGAAGCGGGAGAAGCCCCAGGAAAAGGAAAGAGAATATGGGGATTTCGAGTTGCATTGCGTTTGCAGGCCAGTGCGTATAACGAGGAAAAGGAGAAGTGAGGGATGTAGGGAAGAGGCACGACTCTCTTATATTTTATACACAGCCGGCACCGGGCAAAGCAACCCCCTATTAGCGGGCCATGTGATCTTCTTGTGCCAAACTCGTGTATACGACGTCGTTAGTGCCGTTTTGCCAGGTGCCCGCGACAAACAGAAATCCACAGCAGCACAAATGCGATGATAAAGAGAAAGTCCAGATGCCCAAGGATGCCCATTCGCGATGTGGCGCCTATCGCTATCACTCCGCTTCATCAGAGAAGCAAAGGCCCCTGCACATTTATCGTGGGTCATCTGTCCCCTGAATGTGTATAACCAATAACAGAAGTCTGGAGCTTAGACAATGTTCGTTAGGTGGCAACGCAGTGACAAGCACGCCGGGTTGGAAGGAACAATGGCATACCCAGCGCCAACACGAAATGCAAGAAAGGTGAGAATTCATCATAGATCGTCATAAGGATAGCAAGGGCCGGAGGAGTAATATAAGTACAACGGGTATCGCGATATGAAATGAGAATGGGAAAGAGACGCCAGCATTTCTTCGCCGATAATGCTTCTGGTCTATACTATGAAATCATTGCTTCTGAAGCGTCTCTGGCTTCGTAGAGAGCCAAGAAGCAAACCTGTAAACGGCAGCGCATGCAACAATGATCCATAACAACAGTGGCGCGGCGTTTCCGAAGGTGATAGCAGGGAAGGTTGAATGGACAATGGGAAGGCCGTGGAGACAAGGTGTTTCTGGGGTTGCCAATGAGTCGTCCTCGTAATGCTCGCGTTTGCTGAGGTGTGTTGCAAGATCGGAGGGAAGGTTGGAGGAGTTCGACGCCTGAACCAAGTTGGCCATGTAATTCGTGGGTAACGCAGGACTTAGTCGGCAGGCTGAGTCATAGTCTACCAAGAAGCGAAAGGTGAGCTATTTGAACACACGGAGGCGACTGACCGGTACATACCTGCTAGACGAGATGGAATGGCACGGAATGGCAGGAAGTCATCCGGCGGGGTAGATGCCGGGAGTTGGCATTCAAGGCAAGAGTGAAGGATGGAGGGAGGAGCCACGCGGCATGTACAAGAGATATCGTCGGTGGCGCAGGACTATTGCGACCCCAATCATGAGTATCGGCGTCTGGAAAAGGCGATCTCGGATGGTGCACTACTCACCTCGACAGCTTGCTCGACAACATGACAAGATGAGAAGCACTGGAAGATATCACAAGATGAGTGACCGGGAGTGTTGCCTAGAATTGAATTATCCGAAAGCTTACTTGATCCCGAGTAGCATCGTCGAGGACGCAAACTTGAAGTTCAACGCTTAGAGGACTGAGGGGGCTTGCTCGCGTCGGGTTTAACGCTAGGTGCAATTATGAAGATGAGAGTGAGTTTTTCATCTTCAGAGATTCACCACACAGAAGCGGACTTACAATTCAGCCCACAGAGACCCGCGAAAATAAGAGACCAGAAGAACATAGTGTGAGCAGAAGACGGTCACGAAGGAGGATTAGAGCGGTTTCAAGAGAGAGAGTCGAGCAAAGGTGAGGGGCAATGTGACTTGCACTTGCGCCCTCCCCTCCTTATTATATGCCATCCACTGGTGAGACATTCTGCGATGAGGATGGTGGGCTTCGTTGCGTCTGCTATCGTAGGGGTCTCACGACAAAACAATAAGGATGTTGGCAAGCGAGGCCGCCACCGCATCGGCGTGCCCGCTATGATGACTCAGCAACCCCTGGACGCGCCACTCCACACCTTATGACACTGATTACAACGGCAGGAGCGGAAGTGCAGCTAGGTGCAGCAAAGACAACGCAGCCATACACATGTAGTTATATAGTAGATCTGTAGCTCAGACTTGACCGAGGGTACTGTCATAAATCACTGATCAGTTCTCAACTTCGAGTCTAAGCAAAACTTGCAGAAGACATTCAAAAGGCTAGTGCCACACAGGATATGTGCTGGGCTTTCGTCTTGTATCCCTTACGGAGGGTCATGAAGTCTGCATACTGAGTCTGATTAGGATATAGTGGTAAGTGTCAGGAATAGCAGCACAGAGAGGGCTAATGGCCCAGGGACACACAGACACAGACACAGATATGGGTACAGCGACAAGGGTAAGGGTATGTACATGGACGAGTTTTTGAACCTAACCCTAACCCTAAACCGGGAGAACTCCGAAATGTGCCACAGTGGCCCCACAAGCGTCCGCCACAACCACAACCAACAGTAAGTACATCGTGAAATTAATCGTATGTGGTACAGCCTGGTGCCATCGTGAAGGAGTCGTGAAGTAGTACTAGGAGAGTAGACCAGCCTCCCCGGAACAAGTAAAGTATGAAGCGATGTAGTCGTCAGATCAACCTGAGTGTCGTGTGGTATGTATGAGGTCGTGGATGGAGTAGGAATAACGATACAGTTCACAAATACAGACATCAAACGGCTGACTAGATGAAATGTCTATGAGACCAGCTCACAGACTTTACATCTGTAGAATGGATGAAAATGAAGCAAGTCCAGGGGATACGGACATGCCGTAATGTCCAAAAGGTATGTATGATATGCGGAAGGAGGTATGTTTCTCAAAGGAGAGGCACGTATGCCAGGAGTAATATCTGGAAAGAGGAAAGAGGGACAGTGCCCGCGTTAGCTGTAAAACGAGGAGTGCGGTGTCAAGGCTAAGTACTAAACGAGGAGTACTCACAGCATGCTGCATTACATTACGATACACAGCCACTGTATAGAACCGCCGATAGTTTCGTGTTCAAAGTCGCAGGGATATGATGGCGACTGAACGGGTGGGACGTTGGTGGTGTCGATGGTCAACACCGATGACAGCGGAGGAGCAAGCTCCTCCAGGGTTTGGAAGTCGTCCATGTCGGACGCAATGAGTGTAATGGTTGCTCGGATGAAATTCAAATGTGATTTTAGATAAATCGTCACAGAAAGAGTGTAAATGGGAGAAGATGCAGAGGATAGGTATCGCTGAGGGATAGCGCCAGGAGTGATGGCTCGGAATGTTTGGAGGGAGTGATGGCTTCGGGGTTACATGAGGGCGTCCCTGACAATCATGTTAGTATTTATACGTCTGTGACGACGCCCTACCTGGTTTGACACGCAGCTGTGTTGACGCAAAGCGGAACAATAGCGAAAAACAAGAAACCCGAGTTTATTGTTGGCTTCTCGCATCACGTGGCTAAATCGAACACTGCGGGCGCGCCGGCGCGTCGGAGACCCAATTGTTCGGCATCCTGCTCAATAGCGTCCCCAATTTGCCGTTCCTTTGTTCGTCCCCAACAATGTATCCCCATACGATGCAGTACCCCACCCATAAAGGCGGCATCGGCGACTGCTCTGTCTCTTGCTCGTCCTCTACTTGAGTCTTATCGGGGTTTTGTATGATATGTCGACTTATCCTGCTTTCTCCATTTTTGCCTTCCTCGGGCTATGTCTCGTTATGCTTCCTCTGCCGTGGCACATGCAGGCATGGAACTCAGGCACATGTCTCTACATGTTCTGGGTAGGGATCGCTTGCCTCAACTTTTTCGTCAATTCTGTTGTATGGCATGGTAATGCAACGGACCTTGCTCCAGCCTGGTGTGAAATATGTAAGTCGCGTCCCGCATTTCTTGGAACTCGGCACTGACTGCCCTCCATAGCCATCCGTATCATACTCGGCAGTGCCGTTGCCATACCGGCCGCATCTCTTTGTATCAATCGTCGACTTTATATCATAGCTTCTGGCACTACCTCCAGCGTCACTACTGGTCTTCGCGATGTACGTCCTGGTCATATACCATGTTTCCATGCATTGATCATCCTTGGCTCCGTTTCAGAAACAAAAGGCTATCTTAGTTGACATGGTCATTGGACTCGGTATCCCAGTTGTCCAGATCGTGTTAGGTGTGTGCTTTTTGCGGACCCTGTCTTTCTCTTCATCTTACTCATATATTCCGCATTTTTGTGTAGCTTGCATTGTGCAAGGTACACCATCTTGCTCTTCATTCTAGCTCTTCCTTTTTTGAAATTTATTCTCCTCAAGGGCATCGCTATGATATTTACGAGGACTTTGGCTGCTTCCCTGCCATCTACAATACTCCGGTCGCGTACGCTCTGGTTTCGGCTTGGCCATTAGCCATTGGTTCAGTCTCTGGGATCTACTGCCGTTCGTCCCTTGATTGCTCGATCACAACGACTATAACCATAAACTGACTCTTCACTTTAACAATCTTTGATTGACTAGTTTTGACTCTACGAACATTCGTTCGTCGGCGGTCCGAGTTCAACCAAGTCTTGCGACGCCATTCTTCCCTCACCTTCGACCGATACTTCCGTCTCATGGCCTTGGCCTCTGCCGATCTCCTCATCACCATCCCTATCAGTGCATACGGCATGTATCTCACCATCATCAACGGTACCATCCAGCCTTGGATTAGCTGGGCCGACACACATTTCGATTATCCCAGAGTCAACCTGTATCCCTTGGTTCTTTGGCAAACCAACCATAAGGGTGCCGTGTCCATGGAGCTAACGAGATGGATGGTACCTGCGTGCGCGATTGTCTTTTTCGGCTTCTTCGGTTTCGCGCAGGAAGCGAAGAGGGGATACCGCAAGGCTTTGGATCTCTGTATCAAACATGCTCCCTTCTTGCGTCGCTTGTAAGTGTGTCTTTGATCATGGACGAGTCACTCTACTCATTTTGTTCACAGCACTCAAAAGCCGCTTGACCGCCGTCACGGACCAATCCTTCCGACGCAGGATCGCAAGCAGACCCAACGCCTTCGCGACTCCCTTGACTTTATTGACGAGATGCCCGAAGATCCTAGTTCTTCAGCATCGTCGTCCACGTTGAGACCTACGTCGACTGATGAATACAAAACCGTCGTTTCCCACGAGTCATCAAACATGGCGGAGAAGGGTGATAACGGGTACGTTGTCGTCTAGGACCTTGTGTCTCCGCATATCTGCTACGTCCGCCTACCTTTATGGCTTTCGCGGGATACAGTATAGTAGGAGCACATTCTCGGACAGCATTGCCTTTTCCTTCATGCACATGTATAGACGACATGGCCATATAATTTTCGCTTCGCTCTCATGATAGATTCTTTCAATTCGGTGTATAATCTTCCAGCACGACCTTACGACCTCATCTCATCTTAGCTTCATCTTCGCTTCGTTCTCCTGACAGATTCTTCAAATTCAGTGTATAATCTTCATCTTCCTTCACGACCTCACGACCTCATCTCATCTCTCACCCTTCACTGCATTCAGCATTGTGTCTCTTTTCTTGTGTCATTATCAACGTCCCTTCCCCCTTATCCGACCTATATCATATCAATCTCACTGCGGACATTCGGCTGCACTTACACGATTCCTGCTGCTATACAGTCTTCTCGTCATTCGTGACTCGGATTTTGTTCACTGTCGCTACGCTCTCCTGTCTTCGATTCTCTGCGGGTTTTCAGAGGGTATAGCTCTACAACGTTGAACGGACAATGCATTTGCTGCTTCGCAATCGTGCTCTCATCGTCTGATGTGTGGTCTTCATTGAACCTGTGGTGGAGGGAGCCCGGCAAGAGGCTGGTGAGTCTGTCAACTCACTGTCGAAATGCCGAGAGCATCAGTCTTTCATGGAGTAGTGGAAGGTGCAGTTATCCAAGTAAATCATCCAAAAAGTCCTCCATCTGAGCCTTCGGAGCCTTGGGTGGCTCTTTAGCTTCGAGCGGGAGCGGTGGTGCTTGTACATAAGACCTGTCTAGAGCATGTCACCATGCAGTTAGCGATTTGGCGTAAAGATATCCAACAATTAGAGTGGACGACTGGAAGGAATCCAGAAAAGGAGGGACTATACCTTGTTTTCGTGTCGCTGCCCCGCGAGTGTTCGGTCTGCCTCTCTGTGGCGAAGCAGCTTTTGCCCTGAACCGTGTCTTCAGATCTGTGGGACCATTAAATATCAGTCCCAAAAGTCGGAAAATATTTTGTTCTCCGGACTCACCTCTGCTTGCTTCCGCCGCGGCTTTCTCCTGGCTCATCGCCTCGAGTTCTGGGTCCCATTCGATTTGTTGCACCTTGCCCTTGTGGCTGGGCGGTTCTGACATGCCTTTACCAGAGATATGTGCCAAGGTATGGTCCACGTCATCTTCATCAACTTGGTTTTCTGGAGGCTTCAGTGTTGGCCCAGCACCATCATCCAGACGTTGCCTCTCCAAGAACTTCGACAAGTCAACCTCGGGCTCAAGTATAGGCTCTCCTGTGATTATCACATCCCGTTAACGCCGTATCACATGGCTTTTCAATAGCAAGGGCTTACCATCCGAGTCTAGTTCAGGCTCATCCTCGACGTACCTGTCGGCATTCGTGCCAAGTTGGCGCCTGGAGTATCTCTGCTGTAATTCCTGAGCTTCCTCTTCATCCAGTTCTTCTGTACGTTCTCCATCCAGGAGCAGTCGTTCTCGAAATTCAGCTGGACGACCTCCACCGCGACCGCGACCACGAGCACGAAGATACTTTCCGAGTCCACCTCGAGACTTTCCTCGTCCTCGCCCTCGTCCTCTGCCTCTAGAAGGACTTGGACCATCTGCAGCTGTGGCGCTCGAAGAACTCGGTTCCATCTAGGATAGAGACAATGGCAGAGGTCTGGAGTATATAAAAGATTTTATATATACCCTCCTTACGCAAGATCAAACGTATTTACCTATCCTCCGACCGTTTTTTTCGTCGCTGTGGAGAAGTGTGGCCTGGATGATGTGGTGGCGGAGAGAGATGAAATTGATTGTAATACGAATTCATGCTCCGACACGGCATACGCCGCGTGCCCGTTTCGCAGACAAAGCAGACACCCCCCAGTCGGTTTTATTGTCCACATCTATGTATCCATCATCTTATCCTTTACAAAGCATAAATATCCACTCAGTATTCCTCACGAAACGTTCACCTCACTGGTACCATCTCTCCCTCAACCTCTTCCTCTCCACCATCGGCTTCGTCACAATAATTGCCACAGCCAATCCAGTAATCGTCAACACCAATTGTACCTTATTGAAGTTCTCACTCAGGATATCGAACGTTCCTGAGGGCGTGACGCGTGTAAAGAAGAGGTCAAGACCGTAGGCGAAGACGAGGGAGGTGGATTCGAGGAGAGCGGGGGAGGTCAGTACTTGGCGGACATTTGCAACCTGAAGAATAGCAGTCAGCAAATGCATATCTATAGAGGACGGACAGAGATAAAACTGACCTCGTAAGTGTGTGAGAGAACGCGACGGGGGTCGTCTGGGATGAGGGGATCATACTGGAAAAGCATCTCTTCTTGCTCTTCTGCCGTGGGCTTTTGTTTTGGTCGACGGGGATCTAGCAGTCTTCTCGGGAAGGACTGGATCTGGTGCTTCTCGTTCGCAACTGAAACAATGAGGTCAGGACGCGTTCATAAAGACGAAAGTGAGATGGTCAAGAGATGCGTACCGATGAGATCCTTCGTCGTCACACCAAACTTAGTGGAAGTCGTAGCCAGAGCCGTGACCCCATGTGGGAACACGAACGACTGGCTGATCGCCCTAACATCGAGGCTCTTGTTCGAGTAGGACGACATATCGGAACTAAATGAGGAAAAATTTTCAGTGACCATTCCCTGCAGTAGAGCGGGAAGGTATGTAGTAAAAGTACTAACCTCCGTGTCTTATCATCCGCCCCCTTGCCCTCATACAACTCCACCGAAACCATCCTATACCCCTTTGCCTCCCCAACCCCTTTACTCTCCCCATCCCAAAACACATACACCAACCAATTCTCCACAAAGCTTGCCTTCACATCCTCACACCCTCCCCCACCTGGAAACATGACACTATACACCAAACTCCCTTTCGCCCCATCCAACACACTGATGGCGCAGTCCTCCGCTCCTCCAGAGATCACAGCGAACAGCGTCGGGGTGAGGTATTTGTATAGCGTGGTACGGTTACCCAGTACTTTTCCGAGGCTGGCCACTGGACCCGTAGGTTTTCTGACGATTTCGATGATGTCGTGTGCGGGAGGGAGTGAGGTCTGCCATGTTGGGCCACTGGCGGTGTGGCGGGAGAGGCCAGAGTCAGGAGCGATCGAGTGGCCTGTGAGTTGGCGGGCTCCTGGGCGGCCTGTCCGGAGTGGGAAGTGGAGGCTTGGGGAGAGGGATGCGAAGAGGGATTTCGTGATGTCGGTTTCGGGGTAGAGGTAGACCTAAGATGACGGCAGATAGGCTTAAAATTTAGACCAGCAAGAGTGAGCAAAACCGACCAACATACCTGGAGGAACTCGTCGAGGAGTACGACAACTTTCGCCTCGTCAGTTGGAAGCAAGTAGGCGTCGACGATAGGGCCCTGAATGATGTCGAAACCCTGCAGTAATGCTCCCTTTTTCTCCTCTTCCCTCACATTCTCGCCTGTAAGTGCGTTGACATGGAACAGCACCGTATCCACCAGACCATTATCAGCAATCCTCTGCGCCACGACAACGACCTCAGGTCCAGCCGTCTTTCCCTCGTCATCAATATCCCCCACGGCTCTCACCACGAAAACCTTCACAGGCACGATCTTTGCACCCACCTCCACCGCCCAACCCAACGCAAACACCCTACTCCATACAATCTCCCCATTACTCGAGTCCAAACCATACACCTTTCCGTACTCAGTAGCCGCGACTATAATCTTGCGGAACCCGAACTCATCACGAGCAAGCTCAACGATAGCTGCAGTCTCGTTCGTGGGATTGACGGTACCGGTAAGCGCAGGAGTAGGAGCGGTCAAAGCGGATGCATAAGACCCCGTAGCAAAGCGCTTGATGAAGTGTACGAGGTAAGCAGGTAGGTCCTTGGCGTCGACGATCTGGCGTTGCACCCTCTCGATGAAAGATTCCGTCCTGTGGTCACCAGAACTACTGAGAATATCGCGAGCCTCCGGAAGTTCGACCATCTCAGCTACGGCGATATGTGCGAGTGACTCTTCGCGCGTCCAGAGGAGACGATCGCCTTGCCAGAGTTGAATCGCGCCAGTTGAAGTAGTGAGAGAGAGGTAGGGGACGAGGTCGTAAGCTTGTGGGTAGGGGACTTGCAGGGCCGCCTGCACGTCGACATTGATCGCTAAGTAAGATTGACGAGGAGATGAGATAGATCACGCGTACATGAGTTAGGATACCATGCGTGTTGGTGTCGAAGGCGAAGGTGAAGCCTGAGACGAGACCTTTTCCGTCTGCGAGATGTGGCGCGTACACATGTGCGGAGCCTTTCTATAAGTGAAAACAAACATATTGAATGAAATCAGCACCACGTCCAGAAGTCTATGGGAAAGAATAGAGCAGGAGACTTACTTTCAAAGCATGCGACCAAAACACCCTCCCAATATACGGCATGCCCTCGCCGTCCAATCCACCCACATACATCGACTCCGCATTCACAGCCGACCTGGCCTGGATTCCATCCAAGTCAATAGCCATGCAAGCACTTCCAAGATACGACTCAGACGAACCGAGTCAGCAAATTCCCAAACAACCTTCAACCCTTCCTTCTCTTCGGTCAATTTCACAATCCTTGCTGTCCCATCTCCCGCCTTCAAAGCCACAAAATACCCCTGCTCCGCCAATCCTACATCCAGTACCTGCTCATATGACGCGGCTTTGATGGCTGTAGGCTTCGAGTCAAGCTTTTGTGTGAGTGCAACGGATTTGATGGTGCCGGATTCGAGCCAGACAATTTGAGGGGCGGACGTGGTTGGGTACAGGGAGAGAAGGGATGAAGGACCGTCGGTGATGCTGGACGGGATATTTGCCGAGGCCAGTTCCGCGCCTGAGGAGGTGGACAGAGATGTTACGTGAAGAGTGTATGAGGCGAAAGATTTAGAGAGGCCGACAATGTAGGCCGTTGTGGGTGTGGCGATGATCTTTGAGTAGATGACCTGAGACCTGTTGGTTCTAGACTTAGCCTCATGACAACGACAATCTTAACAATGGAAGGACGTACGTCTGATCCGGTGAAATCCATTTCCACAATTCTTTACCCGTACTATCTAACTTCCGTACGACGTGGCCTTCCGTCAAGACAATGAGGTCGATCGACTCTGAGGCCGAAGAGGAAACGAAGGCGATGGAAGCACCGGTGTGGTCTGGTTCAAGTAGACGGGCGGACTCCGGTTTATGCAGACGCCGTTCTACGATGAGGGCCCCTGAAGTATAGTCGAATGTCCGAAGTGTGGCGCCACCTGGTCCCGATAGTGACGCAACAACTACGACGAGGAAAGCGATCAGTGGAATGAACTGAGCCGCATCGGACCCACAAGAAGTGGAGGATGAAGATACATACCATCGTCATGTTTGTGATAGCCAATGATAGGATCTTCTGGTTCGTATATCCACCTCCATGCTGTTCGTTTGGGCCACAGTGCGACTGTCAACAATCGTTCGAGCATTGTACAAAACAACTGCGTACCTACCAACTGATCCATTATTCGCATGCACCGCACCCAACACGTTACTATGTGTCCCACTGATTAACATCCCTTCTCCTGGAGGTGCCTTCGTTTTCAACCTTGACTTTCGTGGTGGTGCATGTAATGATGGTGCCGTGGCAATTGAGCGCGTAAATGGGACCCCAAGCTGGGCTTTGTTCCAGTCTATTACGCCGGCTTGTGATTCAAGAAGTGCATTGGCAGAGGCCAAGAAGGCAAGGCCTGTCACGAGAGATGAGCTGGTCCAACGCATCCTTGGACTTTGTCGGACGGTATAAGACGCGTCCTTTCTGTCGATGGGCGACTATGCGCTGAAGGGTCGGTAACTATAATATAACAACGGTTTAAGTTCCGTAGCTATGCCAAAACACCGATTGCAACGGTGCAAGGGGCCTTCTTGCACGATTGATTGTGGGGGTGACGTGTTTGGACAACCACAGCGCCGAACGCGAAGGGATTGTTGTCAAACCCAAGGTCTTTACACAACATAACTTCTTAGTCATTCGAAGACAACAAGAACAATGAAAGGCGACGTACTGTCGTTTATGAGCACGTTCTCGAAGACAACAAACCAGAGCCAGGCTAAGTGCGGGAAGTGACGAAAGCTTGAAACCGTTTGTAGCAGTGCTTGTTACTTTGTAGCCCGATCACTACAGCTGACATAATCATCACTATAACATGCGGACGAAGGACCGAGCACCCCTTGTCTGCTTGCCACCACCATCCCCCAGCTCGCTCTTAACGTCCTCAGCATCTGCTTGACCCCTTGCACCTCAGCTATTTTGTAGCAGATATTTGACCTTGCTATTAGGAACTTGTAGAGAACGGAGAATATCATGTCTAAGCCAGGTACCCCGGGGACGTCCACACCGTCGAACACCCTTCTCCTTCGCCGACAACTGACTGAGCTCACGAAGCATCCTGTCGAGGGTTTCTCTGCTGGTATGCACTCGTTCCAATATCTTGATGATGCTACCCCAAGCAGAAGACGCACGAACGATCTATCTCTGCGTGAACTGCACTAGGAGGTATTCGAAACAGTCAATTTATTATTGCATTTATAGGACTCGTCGATGATGACAACTTACTGGAATGGGAGGTCCTCATCATTGGGTACGTGCTTGAATTATTCCTCATCACACCATCCGCAAGTACTGATCACACCTTCGTTCGATGGCGATCGAACAGCCCACCAGACACCATGTAGTGCGTGAACGCAATTTACAGCACATATATTCTTTGCTCACGATTATGTTCTTGTTTGGATGGCTCTGTCGTATAGTGAGGGAGGGTTCTTCAAGGCACGGTTATCCTTCCCTTCTGAGTTCCCATTGCTCCCGCCGAAGATGCGCTTTATCACCCCGATGTGGCATCCGAACAGTACGTTCCGTCTCCCTTACTTTCTTCTACCCGTATGCTTTGGATCACCTCTGATGGTGTTATGTACAGTTTACGCGGATGGTACTGTCTGTATCTCCATTCTCGTGAGTTGCCTCATCCTTGCTTTTTGCATTCTTTCGGAGAAGCCGTGGGATGTGCTCACGTCCCGTCTGGGTTTGCAGCATGCGCCTGGCGACGATCAGTACGGATACGAAGACGCAGGCGAACGATGGATGCCAGTGCACTCTATCGAGTCCATCGTGAGTAAAGCTTGACAATCGCATTTCCTTCGCGCCGTTCGCATCCTTCCATAGCCTTCCGTCACCTTCCACACGTTTTAGACGGACATCCCCAAACGACAACATGCCCATATTTCCTCCCTCTTCCCTCTTCCATCATCCGACACTGTTTCAAAATTACTCTCCTACCTTTTCTCTCAATTCTGAACTGACCGAGCTCTCTGTTATCCCTTTCCCTCCTACGCCACTCTATATCGTCAATCGATCGCGTGACCCACTTCATCTCCCACCGCCCCTATACTACGACTCACAACTGCGAAAAATAGCTACTAAGCGTGATCTCCCTCCTGTCATCGGACACGCCCAACCTCGACAGTCCCGCGAACGTCGACGCGGCGAAGGAGGTCAGAACGGACCCTGCCGGTACGTACAACTTCCCTTCTCCTTCCTCCCCACCACCTCTCCCTCGTAATACTCACATTGTCGTTCATTGTTTGATGTTTGTTTAGGCTACAAGAAGAAGGTCCGACGCTTGGTGCGCAGGAGTGCAGAGGAGGCTTTTGACTAGACTGGGAGAACTGTTCGCTCAGTCTCTGTTCTTCCTTCCTTCCCATCCCATCCCGTCCGTCATTCACGTACGACCCCTCATGACCACCGAACTCCGCTGCCAGTGTACACCACCCGCTCGCTTTCGCACATATATTCATTTTACTTAATGTATGTTTGTATCCATTCCGTCCTCACCGCTTTTCACTCCGTCTCCTCCCCCTCTCCTTTTCATCCTCATCGCCTCAGATCACAGGTTTCGTTTTTTCGGCTCGTACTGTTACTAGTCGCCGTTGTCAACTCCAACTCCAACTTCATCTACGTCCTTGAGTCTGATCCTTACGAATTCCTTTCATTTTGAGACTGTGGCTGAAATCAATAGCAGAGACCCTCTTGATATTGTTCTTCGTCGAGGGATGAGTCTGCGAGTGCGCGACAGGGCGCAGGATTGGCCCAGAGACCTCGAAACTCTAGATAAGGTAGTTTGAAGTCAAGGCTTCAAACTTCAAGGCAATTTCGCGACCCCAAAGGGAAGAACTTGCAATCGAAAGAGCCTATGTGACCAATGGGGCGGCTCGATTCCAACCGGCCTGATGCCTAAGGTATAAGAACGAGATCCTCGAATGACATTGCCATTTCTGGAAGCGTAGGTATACGTATCGGGTGAAGCAAGCGATAGTCGTTGTGAACACTCAAAACGAAAATGGCCGTGACTCAAATTCAGCAATCTGAAAATCAAAAAGCCGAAGTCACGAAGAAGAGGATGTAAAGGTGAAGAGGGGCAAGGGGTAAGATGAAGCAGGTAAAGTCGGTACAAGGTAGAGGTGAGGTAAGGCGGGGTGCGAGGAGGTGAGAGGAGAGCGCGGTGTTGGGAGGTACGAAGTAGGGTGTCGCATGTGAAGTAACAACCAGTGAAACTGATAGAGGATAAAAGACAGAGGGTGCATGTGGCGAGGTAGGCAGAATCATTGACAGGCGATGAATTGAAAAAGGCGGGTGAACATGGAACGGGAGCATGGGGTGACGATGATCCAGGAAATAGAGACGCGAGTGGTGTGGAAGGCAGGGGTGAAGCATAAATGAGGTAGCGCGATGAAGAAAAAGTGTGAAAAGGGGACGGTATAGTAGAGCGTCAGCTCCCGGTATCGAACCTCGGGGCATTCGGCAGGAAACTCACATAGCATAATACAATCCAGAAGAGACGATAAACCGCAGGACAGAAAAGAAAACCGAGAGTAGAAATGAGAATAGAACCGAGGAAAGGGATAGAAACATGGCGGCATGGCAGATCGTACACGCACGACTCGAAGAGAAAATGTTGGCATTGTAAGCAGCCTAACGCCTGATCACATCAAAACTGATCCACCTGCCATCTTTCTTCTTCTCCTCCACCTTCATCTGACACATCTCACATACATACTTCCTCGAGAAGCCGTTCGCACCACCAGACTTCCACTTGTGTTGCACCCCGGGTTTACCCTGGCAAGTGTCAAGGTTGGGTGTGGCGACAGGTAAGGATGGTTTCGGCTGGTCGACAACGAGGACCACAGAGAGGGGCTCTGATGTAGCAAGCGTAGCGGAGGATGCGTCCCCCCTAAGAGCTTGACCGCGACCACGAGGTTGAGTGGATTGGACGACCGTAACTGTGCCGCTTGAAGGACTCATCACATCCTGAGCCCTCGTTCTTGGCCTACCCCTCGTACCTCCAGCTCGAGTCACTGGACCAGTAGGTGGGCTCTCAGCCCGTCGAACAGTCATTTGCACGGGTACTGCTCCCGTATCGAACGACGACCCAGCCGGATCCCACAATCCGCTTGCTTTCGACTTAGTCTCCTTCACGATACACGCACACTTCTTGCACGTATACCTCCTCCAACTCCGAGTCGCTCCTTGCATAACGCGCCATTCGTGAGAGCCTATTGAGTGGCCCGAGCGACAAGGGGGAACTTCGGTGGCGACAGGGTGGCGGGGGAGCTCCGCTGTCCGAAGACTGAAATCCAAGCCTTGACTTGAACCGGGGAGGTCGTCTTCGGATTTTGGGAGGATGGGAAGAACTTCGTCGTCGGCAACCGTAGATTGAGAGTGGTAGGAGTAAAAGTCAGTGTCGCCACTCGAAGAATCGGAGTCGGAATCTGTGGGCGGGTCTGGGTTCGGGTCTGAGGCAACATTGGTAGAAGACGAGGATTGGGAGATTGGACGCGGGAGAGGCGGAGGACGGATCGCTCGTGAGCGCGTCATTGGACGAGTTGGGGGTGACGGTGAAGGTGAAGGTGAAGGCGAAGGCTCAGAATCCACGTCCGCGTCTATCGAGTTCTGTGAAGAGGAGGGTGTCGAGAATGTCGAGCGTTGGGTCGAGGTAGCATCCAGTGGAGCGACTAGTGTCGATGAAGACGAAAAGTCCGAAGATGTTTGACTCAGTGGCGTGGCGCGTCTACCGACTACGAGTGGTATTTTCCCGCCATAATTGGCCTCTGCATGATCAGCAGATATAATTTAGCATCATCGAAGTGGACTGCATAGATCGGGATAGTACTGACCAGCTTTGATCGCGTTTAGCTGGCGTGCTCCCAACCAGGCGAAGCCTTTCTTCTTGTGCTTGTAGCCCACTGCATACCATGCGGACGCTCGAAGCCGTTCGTCTGCATGTTCGGCAGGAGTGCGACCTAGACAAAGCGCGCAGGATTATTTCATTTTCAAAGCTCATAGCAAAGGGCAGGACACTTACCACTAAAGTACTTATCGATATAGGATTGCTTCACCAACTCTGACCTTTTCGGCTCAGACTTTGATCGCTGACTCGAGCTCGGGGACGACGGTTCAGGGGTTGAGTCATCGTCTAAATCTGAGGTTTTTTGAGGTCAGCTCCTCGAGAGCAAATCCAGGTAACATTGAATCACTGCGGCGGCACAGACACTCACCGGTGTTTGCATCCTCCTGGTCATCAAGCTTGATCGCAGCCGATAACTCGCCATTGTACTTTGGCATAACCTTCTCGCCCTCCTTAAGATGTTCTCGATATCTCTGAGGATTGGTATCTTCCAGTATTAGCGCTGGGTCGGGCCTCCAGTGCTCCATTTCTCCCAATGTCGAATCAGGGATATCAGACACCAGAGCTTGAAGGGGATTTTTCGGGCGTGCCTCTGAAATGTCGACCGGGTCATGCAAAGTCTTGATGTTATTCACGTCTTCCTGGATCTGTTGCTGGTTTTCGCCCGTCTTCGTTAGATCCTACACTTGGGTCAGTCCGGTTCCTCCGAAATCCGACGTCACAAAATGTGCTCACGACGGCAGCCTCAAAGCACGATGCGAGCTTCCTTGACTCTTCAGATGCAGCAAGGTCTGGATGGTTGGCCGTGTGCGCCGTCCATTTCCTGCTGATCTGGCCTAGCAGCGATGTCCCATGTTGAATGACGAAGGTATCAATGGAGGCCTGAGGCATGTCTTTGAGGCTGTTTTTTCGAGAGGATACAGCCGCAGCCGGAGAAGCACGCTGGGAAGGCGGGAATATGTTTGATCGTTTGGGGACCAGGCGAGGGTCAGAGCAAACCCAGAACTTATCGCCATCGAGATCACTGGCAAAAAAAGAACAACAATATGAGCGATGACACCGGGCAAGAAGTAGAGTAGATAAGTCGGAACCCTTACCCGCCGCTGATCATGTCTGTGACAGAGCGTGGACAGCTCTCATGTCCGGAGAACACTGAGATAGGCAAGGTTCTTCAGGTGGACTGACCAACAACGCACGAACGACGGTGCATACCGATGCAATTCGTATGATGCAGCAACTCAGGCTTGCTGACCGCCTTGAACACTCTCATGTCTAGAAAACGGAGACAATCATGAATGCCCCGATGTGCAGAAATGAACGCACACGTACCTCCAGGAGCGTAAGCAGGAGTCCTTTGCCGCATCGCCATTCCGTCAGTTCGTACTCGCATTTCCGTCGTGAGGGAAGCATCGCTCACCTGCAGACTACGACCCAACCGATGATAACGCCATCTCGATGGGGCATATGTATGTAGACTTCATCTGGCTTGAGCGTCCGAGATTCGTCCACAATTCCAAACAGCAACCAAGATAACTTACATTGGACATAAGCTGATTAGCACATACCATGTAAATATTCAAGTGTGATGAAAGTTATGCGATACCTTAACATCGATGCAGATCTTTTCTCTCAGCCTCCTGTACCGTAATTTTTGATACTTCAGCATCAACCATTTGACGTACGGCTCGCTGAGATCATGCGAAGCCAGAAGCCCCTCGAATACTGTAAACAGAACTGTCAGAAATGATGACGCAGTAGAAGGTGAGGCGGCTTACATTCTTGATTGAAGCCCTCGCCGTCCGCGTCGAGCTGCGCAGAGTCCGTGCCTTCCAAAATCTCAATGGCCTTATCACGATCGGTCATGAACAAATCGAGCTTCTCCAATTGCTCGTTGAGTAGCTCGTGGATCGTCTGAGCGGCCAATGAGTCAGAGTCGGCATTGATAATAGAATACAGCAGAATGATACGCACTGCGGCAGGGATCCCTGCTGTCAGGAGCAACAGAATGTACATTTTGTTGAGCCTGGCCGAACCCGCAGGGTGCGATACAGCGTTGATCTCTAGCGAGGTCAGTCGGCCGTCATATTTCTTCATCGAAGGACGGACTGCGATCCAATTCTCGCCCATATGAAGCACATCTGTACAGAAGGCGTCGGGGTAGCCAACGAGCATGCCTTTGTGACCGTTCCAACGAATCTGGATACCTAGCAGGAGAATTATTTTATGAGCATCCTGTGAAGTCTGAGGATTGGAAAATGAACTTACAGTGCGTGTCCCGTCGAATGCCTCTGTTAGCACATATAATGGCCAAAACGGAATCTCGAATAACACCGCAACCATCAGACATGAGAGTACCGTCTCGGGCTACAAGGTCAGGTATCTCGGTGACACGGCTGTGAGGGGCCTACGATGAACGGCAGTGAGCTTTCAATTTAAGAAATGCTAGCCACGGAGAAGACATGACCATACATCCAGTCCGACTGCCGTGGAGGAAAAAGACAGGCCAAGTCGCGCGGCATACTTCCCATACCCTGACTTCTGGTAGACAGCGTCCAGCTTTCCAAACGTACGCAAGAGCTTTTGGGTAGCTGCTTTGTCGCCTTCGAACATCATGAACTGAGTGGCTTTTAGTTGAGATTCGGTGTAGCCTAAGAAGGTATACCTGTCGAGTGCGCCAATTTCGTCAGTATGGCAAAGACGAGCGACAAAGACCACGAGCGCCCCGCTGTGACCGACAAGGAGGGCAATGCCCCTGATGGATAGTTGCGGCACCATGACCCATTAAGTCTATTATGGCACCTCAGTGTGACTGAAGGTGACTGAAGATGACTCATTCAGCTCGAAAGAAATGTATGGCGTCCAGATTATCTGTGCCGGCGTGCAGCGCCTTAAAACCAAAAGATCGGTATAATACTACACACCTGTGGCCATCTTGTTGTATACCTTCGTGCACGACATGCTCCATGATCTTCGGAATGTCTCGAGACCGAACATCCCCATCGCGGTAGGAATCCTTGTTATTGCGAATCTTGAAAGAGACGACAACGATCTTGTAAGTCTCGTCCCCCAAGATCCTAGCGGCGCGCATCGACGGATGTAATTGTGTCCTCAAGTCACTGAGCACAGGTACGTGCTTAGAGCCCTGACGGCCCCATTTGATCGTTGCCTTCCTGATCACGACGTACTCATCCTTCTTGAACGCGCCTTCACGGCTGGGCCCTGCTGGTGGCATAACAAAGGGGGGTAAGAAAACAAAGGTTCAAATAGTGAGGTGTCGCGGTTGGAAAGCAGAGGTGGTTTATAGTACAAGGTAGCGCAAGAAATGTCGGAGAGAAGAGGGGGAGGTGAGGGAGAGAGAGAGAGAGAGAAAGGGCCTAATGAGGGAGGAAACAAAGGCAGAGTCGCCGCGTCGTGGGCCACAAACTCAGCGTGGTTGAAATTGGGCACGTGTGACGGAAGCATTCACCGTAAAGATGGCGACTCGCCACAGGGGCTAAGGTGGCCACAGTCCACCTTGCGGTGCAAATTTCCTCGATGAGTATTGTGGAAGGGATGTAGAGCGCTCCAACTACAACAAGAACGGCGTGCCAATCACATTTGCAGTAATGTTATAACAGCAACAACAACAACATAATGGGGTTATTCTACAAGTATAATGATAGACTACAAAAACACACATCAGTGACCAGGGCTCTCTTCACCCTTTACCCGCAAGCTTCGTCTAGATGATAACGTGTATATACCCAGCTACAAAGTCCCTCAGGCTATGCCCGCAAAATGCTTCAACACACTCAACGCATCCTCTCTCTTCAATCTCCATTTCGCGTCCGTCCCCTTCGTCCCCACGCTCACCGTCTCCGCATTATCGAGTTCGTTAAGCCTCCTCAATAACTTCTCATCCGTCCCCATGGCGAGTACGAAGTCCGCATCGCTAACATGATCAGTTTCGAGCGAGTCGGGGGTCATCCACGCTGCGCGTGCAGCGAGGGGCGAGCGAGAGGGACCACCAGGATGAAGGATGGCGCCGACGGCGGTGGAGCGGGAAATGTAGTTGGGAAGGACGAGGAAGGAGTTTTCTCCGGGGATGATACGAAGACCGTAGCGTTCGCCGATACTGCAGCGGTCAATCTGTCAGCGATGCAGGAAGAAGAGGGAGTAGATGGTAAATCACCTGTCGAAGATATGGTTCTGAGCCTCAGCGGCTTGTCTCCTAGCCCACTGCCTGTCGGAGGAGTTGTCCGATGGACCAGACCAGAAGCGCCACACGATGGAAGCTTCACGCTCCTCGACGAACGAGCCAGGCGTACGCTCAGTGAACTATTCAGGCGCGAGGATGAGTAACGATGTGCATATGTATGGACAGACAGGAAGACACGTACGTAGTTCAGAATCTCGAGGCAAGAGCCCTTCCAGGTCAGATTGAAGTTGGCGACCATGTTAGTCCATTCCGACTTGCCATCTTTACCAGGCCTCGCCCGGATGAAGCATCCATTCTCAGCGCTGTCAGTGGTGCATTAGCATCGTGAGAAAGCCCAACCGAGAAGAGTGAAACTGCACTCACACAAGCCCGACCTTCGGACACGTCTGCGCAATAACCTCCAAGGCCCCCCTCGCCAGCCCACTCAACAACCACACTTCGTTCTTTCCATCCTCCGCCAACTTCTCCACAACTTTCAACGCCTCATCCGCCTCCGTCGGAATCTCAGCTCTCCTTTCCTCCATCGTCTTCTCCTCCCCTGGTCCATCACCCTCGCCCGGATACGCAAAGGTCCGCTCCTTCGGGTCTCTCACCCACAATGTATCCTCGAAATCTACCAGAATCAGTCTTCTGCCGCTGTGTTTGTATCTCGGCAGGACGCGATGAAGGTCGAGATGATCGATTGTGAAGCTATCGGCTTGGAAGTGCTCGATGTTGGTGCGGAGGCAGCGGGTGAGGAAGGAAGTTACGAAGGCCTGAGCGGTCTGCGTAACGACGTGATTGTGCAGATCTTCCCATCGGGAGTAAGCTTCGTCATCATCCATGGTGAACGCCTGGTGGATCGCTTTCGCGGTGTTGCGTGTGTCCCAAGGGTTGACGGCAATACAGGAGCGGAACCCGCTGTAGCTGTACGAGCCAGTGAACTAGACAAAACATTATGTCAGTTGATGTACTTGAACGTAGTATAAATGATCGTCCTCACCTCGCTCAAGATAAGTGGCCTGTGTCTCCCTTCCTGACACTCTACGAACTCGTGCGTCCTCAACGCCATACCTTCCCTCATACTAGTCACTATAAACGCGTCCGCGATCGTCAATAGCGCAAGGTACTGAGCAAAGCTCATATCGCCCGTGTGCAAGAAGATGACAGGCTGGTACGTGAGCGAGCTGAATCGAGAGTTGATACGGGCCACGACGTCACCAACGCCGCCGAGGAGCTCATTCTCCTCTGTCGTTTGGAGTGCGACTTGTAAGAGGACGACTTTGCCTCGGAAGTCTGCGTTCTTGTCCAAGAAGGCTTCGAAGGCGAGGAGTTTGTGGCGCACGCCCTGTAAAACCAGTAACGCATAAGCAAGTTTATATGGTGGGGTGAGAGATAGGAAACGTACCTGGATCTCGTCCAGCTTGTCACGGCCGACAAGCAACTTCATACCGGAGTAGCGTTCCTTGAGTGTAGCCACCCAATGAGCGACTTCTGGATCCTTCCTAGAAATAACGCACCAATCAGTCCGAAATTCGCGCATGAAACGCCAACGACGCCACTCACTTCCTTTCGGTCAGCGTTGCCACATCGATCCCCATCGGGAATACAGCAACGTCCACAAAGTGCTCATCCATCTGTATGCCTTTCGGCAACGTCTCCAGTGACAGAATTCGCGCCACGGTCTGCCTGAAGTGCCGCGCATAGTTGGCCGTTTGGAAGCCGATGAGGTCGGCAGAGAGCATCCCCTTGAGGAGGGACTCGCGGACGGAGAGACAGCGGAAAATCTCCGAAGACGGGAAAGCGACGTGCATGAAGAAGCCGATAGCAGCTCCGGGAAGTTTTTGGCGGATCATGTCTGGGAGGAGCATGAGGTGGTAGTCGTTTACCCAGACTGTTTGCAGTAAATCAGCGACTATTCCATGAATTAGGGAGGAATAAAACGTACTGATGTCGCCCTCTTGATAGTTGGCCGCAATCGCATCTGCGAACCTCTGGTTCACCGCGACGTATTCCTTGAAGCTGCTCGACTCCGAAAAGTACTTGCTCTTTGGCGCGTCGTGCACGACATAGTGCAAACACGGCCAAAGCACCTGATGGCAGAACATATCATAATACTGCTCGAACTCCTGGTCTGGGATCCAAATCGGCAAGCTATCGTGCTCTTCCTGCATCCGCCTGTTGATGTTCATCCGCAAATGATCCTTGAAGTTGTCGGTGTTGGTGCCAAGAGTACCGACCCAGAGCTTCTTTTTGAGACGCCCATCGACGGACTTGACGGCGTTGTGGAGACCGCCATTGCAGTGAGGGTTGGGCTCAACGTGCCATTGGCGACCCATGGGCGAGTCGGAAGCTGGGCGACGGTGGGCGGCCGCACGAGAACCTTTGCGTTGTACCCTGGGCTGCATGGGGGTATGGTGGTCGTCCATCATGCGGTTCGACCGGGATATAGGCGATGCGGTAGGATCGTTCGGAATAAAATCTCTGTGAGAGTTCACTTTGCTCATCGTCAGGGCTTCGAGAGGATTCTGTGACGACGCGGAGGAGGCAGGCGGAGTAGCGAGCTGAGAAAATCTTGTGAAAGGATTGAGGGCAGAGTCGCCGGCTGGCGTGCCTGTAGCAGCTGGAGTCCCGACTCTAGACTAATAAACCAAGAAAAGGTGAAAGCATAATTGAGTATGAATTCTAGCTCGGATAGATTCAAGTGAGATCGAGGACCCTGGAAAAGTATCAACATGCGACGAACGCCTTGCTTGAACCGTACTCTCGCCTCGAAGCGCAATTGATGCGGCTGCTTGGGTAGAGATACAGTTATTCTTCAATTGTAGAGCTCGTGTCTCGATAGACTAGCTCTCATAGTTTTGCTCAAGTCCTGATCAACAGTGGGCCACATTGCAAACACACATGCGCCACACCAACGAACGTAGAGACAGTGACCCCTGCCAATAGAAGAACATATAGGTTTCACAGAAACAACCATCTACGAGGATATTGTGCACTCGTATCCCGGGAACGGCCAACGAAGTAAAACAAAATCGGACGTGAAACGGGGAACATACCTTATCCTTCAGATCATCCACGAGACTGAGCACAGGCGTAGTAGTCGGGCGATGGACAGGGCCAGGTCGCGGCATGTGCACGTTTTCTGGCAGCCTCATAGGTGGTGGAGGTGGGGCCCTCGTCGCTCCCAGTTCCGGCGTAGACGGATGAGACTCGCCCAGGACCGCAGTACTAGGAAGGAAAAGAGACGCGATGATTACACGGTGATTTCTAAATGAGCTCATCGTTGATCACAGCGAGGAGAAATACAACAAGAAAATAGAGGTCGCAGAAGCGAAAATGGAGAACTGTCGAGGGTGACGGTGATGGTGGTGGTAGAGGACAAGAGTTGGTGCTGGGATGCGGGAGGCGAAGGGGGCAAGACTTGGTGCGAGTGATGATTTTGCATGAATCTTATGACGTCCTCTTCAAATGCCATGCGGGGATATCCGGAGAGATCAAGAAAGATCCAGAATCGAGATCGCAGTGGATGGCCAGATATTCGGGCCCAAATTGCCCTCCGATATCCTTCCGGACTGTGTGGCACCCCAGTGTGGCCCGCACCTTTGCGACAAACGTTCATTCATCAAACCTACGCCCACAAGAACCAACATCCATTCTCGGAGATCCATGTACGGGAACCAGAATAACTCGACGCCCTTCATCCGGTGGCAATCGCTTTTGTAGCTCCTGATACCACAACCTTCTCCCGTCACGGTGCGAGTCGTATATTTATTATTTTCCCTTGACAGGAGAGGCTCGACAGCAGGTCTTCCGAAGGCTTCGCATTCGAAATCACTTCTTGCCTATCCTTGCCTTAACCCGCTCATCGATCTTACTCTATCTCCCTTGTGTACACATCAGCCCCAAGTCGGTGAGCATAGGGACTGCCAGCACATATTTGTGGTTCTCACTTCGGAGATGGTCGGGTGGAAGTCCACAGCGCTGAAAAGCTGCGAACGTTCGAGGCTCGTCCTCATCCCACTGGTCGATTGTAACGCTCTGGGCGGAAGTGTATTACGTGCTACGAGCAATGAACGGAACAACATCAAGCCTCACATCGCATTAGAGGAGAAGAACTGAGTGATTACAAGATCACATACCGACACCCCGACCCGCTCTTTTCTGTCAAAGGCTTGACCACATGTCCCGTTCAACCCTGAGCCTAAGTTTTTAAGAACAGTACCAGTGATAACGCCCTCCACAATCAATATCTCATCACCTTCCGATGCCGCACTCTGGGTATACGCAGACCATCCGCAACCGTTATCCCAACGTCAACCATTACGATGTCAACTTGGTCATAACGACGTTTCTCGCCTGATACGTCGTCGTTCCGGTCGGACCAGGCGTTCCCGAGCTACCCTCCATCTGCATGCCCGACCCATGAGATACCACACAGGAACGTCGGAAGAGGAAATGTCGACCGCCAAGAGGGCGCGTTCGTTCGGTTATCCGCAACAATCCCGAGTATCGCCCAGAATCAGGTCACAGGACAAATGGAGAATCAGACCCGGATGGCGATGGAGAGAGGGGCGAAGGAAGCAGGTAGAGAAAATCAAGCCATAGATCGAAAGAGGAGAAGAATTATTAATCAGTAAACTTTATTCAGATCACCTGGTACAGTGAGATGGATGGACGAAAAAGGATCGGGAGGGAATGTATAGATATAGATGGGGTTCAGCAAAAACAACGCACCTGCAGATCGATGATCCTGCAACCCCAAAACCAGGAATTGAACATATAGTCAGTACAACCTTCGAGACAACAGGAACGACATCGCTCGACAAGCGTCAAAGCGGATGGGACAATGATGTTCTTCGAAATGGGAATGGAGGGAGATAAATTACTCACAGATACATCGCAGCATTGTAGAACCCAGCAGCTATGTCCGTCGCCTGGACTACACCATCCAAAGAGTACTCAATCGACAGATCCTCCGTGTTTCCCTCAATGACTCTGAGAGTTGCGCTAACGGAGTGGAAGTCCCCATCATCGGGCCAGGTAGGGGTCGTGCTATGGACTTCGCTGGAGGTGTTAAAGGTGTTGAACCAAACGTTGTCCGTTCCTGTGCGAAACCCAATGTTAGTGCCATATATCATATGGGACGCTCTGTTCAATACTACAAGGAGGAGACAAGCGCGAGGGGTGCGGGGTGAATAAGTAGATTAACAGACCTTTCCACTCTCCGATATCACTCTCAGGTGGCCAGCCTACCACCGCCGTCAACCAGAACGCAGGCCATGTTCCTACCGCTGTAGGCGCGATGAACTCTCCAGATACGGTGTACCTATACGGGCAAGTGAACATATGGCGCTTAGTTGTCTGTAACTACAGCCGTCTCCAAGAAAACTAGAACTGTGAACGAGACTCACCCGACCGCATCGGTGCCGTCCACCAACACCTGCTCCTTGGCATAGATGGTGCCAGAAAAATAGTCAATGGTAAGGAACGGGCTGGCCGATGAAGTGCCTTGTCCGGATGTAGGCGTCGCGGTGAGGGTGAGCACGCCGTCGGAGACAGCTATGTGGTCATGGTCGGTGCTGTTGCCTACCATACGAGCGGCTAATACAACATCGGAAGCATGTTAGTAATTAACCGCGCACTGGAGGCCTGTAGGCAATACGGGAATGATTTGGGCGAGGCGGCGAGCATGGTTGCACGTGTGACCCGTCCAAGACTCGCAAGGGGAGGGAGAGGTAGCGTGAATGAAGACTGACATCCATTGTGGTCCGATCCCCACGGATATAAATAATTCCAATACGTCTCCAAGTCATCATAACTATCGAAGCTCGTCGACGGAATCACGTCCTCGTCGCCCATCGTCGTGCCCACATACCCCAAGCTCAACACGCTCAGAAGAGCAAGAAGGGTAGAAGAACGGAGAGACTTCATGGTGTGGTATCAGTCGCACACAATAGTCGCTCGTCAGGTGTACCTAGTGAAGAAAGAGAAACAAGGGATGAGGACGGAGAGAATACGCCGAGGACGGGAGATGTAGCTTTTATATTCACGCCCTCTCCTTTTTCTCCTGAGTCAAAGTTGGTAGGTTCCGCAGGTAATAGCTATGGAAACGGTCCATCGAACGGTGAATGTGATGTTCCTGCTGTCCTCTGATCCTCGTTTCAGCTTGTAATGAGCAAGGAAGGCTGAAAGAGGTATCGGGGTCACGACAACGACGTCAATCGAAGCAAGTTAGACAATGTCCGTGTACCGGTGCTCGGACTGAGCACGCGGGTACGAAGTATGAAGTATGATGACTTCACTCGTCTCTGTCAACACGAGGTATACAGAATGACGAGGGATCGTAGTCGACCGACCTTCTTTTGCCTCGACGGGCCGCCGTAGACCGAGACCTCGCGAGAATAATGCAGAAACACCGAAAACATATTACTTATCTTGTTTTCTATCTTCCAGGTGTACAACGAGTCACCCATACTTGGTCGTCAATAGATGCACTTAGAAGGAGGAAGATAGTATGAGTTGGTAGGTTGGAGCTTGAGTAGCTCGTATTCAGCTCGTAGTCTGTGGTCTCCCCCGGTCAGAATACCCACACTCACGGAGAGAGCATATGAGACAACGGCGCGTGTAAGTCCGGGTTGACCACATGCACGAAGACAAAAGGGCAAGACACAGTGATGCCTGACTACTTCACGATACCTCCCATACTCCCGATGAACCGCCCATTGTACCCAGATTGAATCTCTGCATTCATGACCTCCTTCACCTGATCTATAAGCACTTCCAAGCCATCCTCAAACATCTGATCCTCTACGAAGTGACCATGGGCGCCACCTGAGTTTGAGCACCGGTAATCGCTCCCGTCGTCTGATGCTGCTGAGGCGGGGACTGTGTCCTGACAAATGTGCTCCTTGGCCGCGTCATTTGCACACCAATTGAGTCGGCGAACGCATAAGAATGTGGAGCCCTTGCTCGCATGGTGACTTCACGGATGGCCTCGCAGGTCGGCAGACAGGTACAAGCGATGGAAATCCCGTCTTGAACGAGCCGTTCGAGAGTATGAAAGTTCGTTGATTCGAGTTCCTGAGGGGCGAGACCCCAGCGAGATATAGCAGGCAGGAATCGGGACGCCACGCAGATCCGAGACAGTTGCGTTTGGGACCAACGTACCGGTGGACGATGCGGCGTCGTAAACGCACAGGTGGAACATGGGAAGGATAATTGAAACGATGGATTACCATAACATCTGCAACACAGCGGTAACAGCGAATATAAAGTACCAACCTTGACTGTGGCTTCCAGAATCTCTCCATAGTCCACTTCAACGATGACTCCGGTCTCCTCCACAAACCAAACGTCCAATACGACCCTCTGTCGCCTCTTCATATGCTCCTCTGTATATCCCAACAGAATATTCATCTCGTAACCTTTGAACCAGATGGAGATGTCTTCCTGAATTTGTCCAGCCCAAGGATCGAGGTTAATTGTACCAACGTTGACGGATGAGACGGGCGAGACGGAAATCTCCCAACCCATGCCATTGCTCGTCGAGTCACCACCAGATGGATTGGAGAAAAGAGAGCCTCCTCCGCGTAAGAGTCCTTTCGGAGCCTCGAGAATGACACGGATTTCTTGAGAAGCGGATTTATTCCGCCTGATGATGATTTCCAAGGCTTTCCTCACCAGCACCTTTCCAGACGTGTACCTTCCTGGAATATTGTCACTGTCACCGTTTCCTGCCCCGGCTGTTCTCCCCGAACCACTCTCTTCTTGCATCTCCGGATCACTGCTCGTGAGGAATGCCTCCCCACGCTTCTGACCCACATTCCGCAGAAAACCCTGCAAGGGCCATGCATCCAGCCCCAACCTGAGCAACTCATCTGCCATCGCCTCCGTAGGCACCGAAAATCTAGGATCATCTGTTGCTGCCGCTAGACTTAACGACGAGGGATGCAAGTGCAGATGTACCGTTAGGAGTAGTGGTTGTGGGGGTCCGTATATCGAGTGATTGTGAGGGAGATTATCGTGATCAGAGATCGGGTTGGTGGTGAATGGCGGTGCATGAGGATCTGGACGAAGATTCGTGGTGGTCGAATGCCAAGTTGTGTGACCGATTTGCGCGGTGAGCAGAAGAGAAGAGAGGGTTATTATGTCAGTTGACGGCGGTGGCATAACAAATCTTGGGGTCTATCAAGCCCTGTTCGAGTTGAAGGGTAGACGTTATCCGTTCAGTGAGGCCACCAGTATAGTTGGTGCCTGTGGTCGTGGTACAAAGTCAAGAGATGTGTTATTAGTCAGCAAAGACCTGAAATTCGGATTGAGGTGGCGCGGATTTCAAGAATGTGGCGCTCTATCATGCTGGCCGGGTATATCACCAGAGCACTGTACCGAACGGTGAACAAAATCCGATGTTCTCGGTAATGAATGAACACCGTTAATTGCAACTCCGGTCGAAAGTGGAGAAGGGTCAACATCTTGACGGTGACCTTACAACGCCGAGCGCGTCTACTAGCAATCACCGCCACACGTGGTCAAAACGTCGTGCAGGGATTGTTACATTAATTTGAGTACAGCAGTCGCAGAGGAATGGGTTAAATCACAACAAAAGCAGAAACAAAGCCAAAGAGAAAGCGTCATAAACGTGAAAGGCATCACCCTCACAGTACAGATTTACAACAGCGATTATCCTCTCTCATAACAAGGCGTATACATCACCGTCATCGTAAGTCGTCTAGGCAGTGAGGATCGAAGTGGACCGAATCAATGTTTCTGTGGCCTCTGATCTCGGTTTTACCTGACATTTGAATGGCATCGGATACCTACGGAAAGTCAACCCCATAAGAGAGGCATGAGTATGTGTAAGACTTGGGACAAAAGCAAGACTTACACGACAAAACCTGTCGTGTACTCATCCTTCGGCACAATCTCCCTCCCAAATTCATCCCTCGCCTTTTCAACGTTCATAGTCGCCAACACTGAAACTACCGTGATCCACAAGTTGTCTATAGCCATCCACTTGCCGGCACACCAGCGCCGCCCGTAGCCGAACGCTTCGTTCGGGTATGGTAGGGCTGGATTGTCGAAGTACCGTTCAGGGCTAAAGGTGTCGGGATCTGGGTAGATGGATTCATCATGGAAGATTGCCCTAGATTCAGAAGAACAACAGTTGCATGTGCGTAAGGTAGGGTCGATGAGTCTAACAAATAGTATGTCATCACGTACCAAGTATTCCCAATCACCCAGCTTCCACCTTTCAAGAAGTACCCATCGTAGGTGTCGTCTTGAGTCAGACAGTGTGGAAGTGCTATGGAAAGATTGCCAAGGTATCGTCAACACTTATGGCATATTCTAGCGAAAAAAATTGTCGGTGTGACCGTACCCAACGGGCCAACAGGCCTCCACCTTCAAATAAACAACGTGACTTGAGCATCACAAAACACCCGACGAATGTCAGAATGATCGTCACATACCTCAGGACTTCTTTCACGACCGCACCCACATAGGGAAGGGAGGCCTCGTCGGAGAAATCTGGAAGACGCCCGCCCTCCCCAATGACTGCGTCTATCTCTGCTTGAGCTCTCCGTTGTGCCTGAGGATAGAGCGTCATCGCCAACAAGAATGTTCCGAGGGCAGACACAGACTAGAGACAAACGGAACAGATCATCTTGTTAGCTTTTACAGACGATCCAAAGGTACGGTGACAGAAATCTCACCGTATCCGTGCCGGCTACGTTAGGATCAGCGAGAAAACATCAGCGGAGAGGTTACCGGGCAGTGACGACACGGGTGGCTCGCGGAAGAAGAGCAAACGTTGACTTACCAAGGTACATATTCGCAGGGACAAGCTTCACCATATCCTCCGTGATCGGAGAAGGCTTGCTATCGAGCTGGCTCAAAAGAGAAGCCGTTACGTTCGGTGGTGCCGTACCATTTGTCTACCCAAACCCAATTCAGATCATACGAAACCAAGCAGGAGAGTTAGACGGAGAAGAGAGTGAGGATAGTATAATGAAGTGGAGCTCAGCGCGGGCGGGCTAGAGACATGATGCACGAGATAGGACGTACAAACGCGGCTTTCGAGGCTCGATATGGGTCTTCGATCATCGCCTCTGCGTACTTCTTCCACGGCTTTGCTTCAGCCTTGTACTAGCGCAAGGAAATGCATCAGATAACGGATATCAACGCCGAACTGAGTAGCAATTGGAAAAACATCGATGATACGTACTGTTGCACCGGGGAACCATGACGGCAGTCGCAATACTAACGGAAGATGAAATGAGCACTCTGCAGTGGATGTGTGCGGGCCAAGTGTTATGTACTTACACAGAGGGAAGAAATCGAAAAGCTGGCCGCGAATGTGTGCTCCAAATGCAACTGCCTGCAGGCCTCGTTCGGCTGTTTGGATGTGTGGATCGTCTTTTGATTTGGCATCGATGCCATAGGCGATCAAAAGGATGACTCTTCCTGCCGTTCTGAAGTAAAGGTTAGGAAATTCACACTGAGGCAAAGACAAAAGAAGTACCCACTGTCGAAGATGATCTAGGAAGTCATCGGGCTCGTCCAAGAGTCTTCTCAGAAGCTCGTGAGTGGCGCCGAGCAATAACGGGCGGAAGCTCTGGACCAGCATCAAAGCATCGGTCATGAGAATTCCGCGGGGTGTTATTGTGTGAGCACGCACCTGGGCTGCAGTCTGATTGAAGGACTGATGAAAGTATTTCCGGAACTCTCGCCAACGCGGGCTGTATCCCTGAAATCCCATCACCCAATCGAATCCAATACTGAGCAGCGTGTCAAATGCATGTAAATCGCATGACCAGTTTGAGGATGATTGTGCGCTTACACTTTGTTCAAGAAGTACAAGGGCGGTCTGTGATATAGACGTGTGAGAATTCGGCTGCACAGCATAAAAATAAGGAGCATGGCTCACTTGTCTGCATACAACAGGCCTCTTCTCTCGAATAGTTCAAACGCGGCTTTAGCGGTGTTTATTACTAGAATGTGGCTTCCTAGCACATCGATATGCGTGATATCCTTTCCTGAGACAGCCCAAAAGAGCGATAAACCCTGCTGCATAGTGAGCTTGAAGAAGGACTCACCATGCTCCTTTGCCCAACGGGTGTATGTCTTCCATGGATGGCTTTTGGGCATGTGTAAAAGACTTCCAATGAAAGGAAGACGAGGAGGACCTGGAGGCATCGGGAGTGATGAGGTACGCCTAGAGGTTCGCCATATGTAAAGGACCATGAAGGCGACTAGCGCGAGGGCAAATGCCCAAAGATTGGTACCCGTACCAGACAGCATGCTCGCGAGGGGGACGTTAACGAATGTACGAGCTGGGAGTGATGTGCTTTATACCTGAGGACCGAGTGGCGCAAGAATTATCATATTCTCAGGGCTTGTCGGGGTGTAAAGTAGGTTTACGATTACCCACAGGTATATTTGGCCAAGACCCTCACACCTAGCAAGAGATCCTCGATGAGCTCCGACATAAAGCTTACCATAATGAGAACCGCTGGATGGAAGTGGCTAGAGCTCACGTAAAGATGAATAACCGAAAGGAAGTTAGCCTGAAGGAGATTCGATGACACTCCTCACTCCCAACTCAAACATGTATGGGTTTGAAATTACCAGGTACGAAACTACGCAGCATCAGCACCATGTCGGATACGAATTGTCTATCGGTTTTCCTAGAACACGACTGTCGAAAACAAGATAGGACTAGAAGAGCTGGTAAGACGTTCTGACACAGGGGAGAATTCTAGCAGAAACAGATTGATCCTCAGGATGCGGGCAAAGGCATTCGTAGTGAGTGGTTGAGCCACAGGCATGCAGTAGGCATGTATGGTGGATCTTAATCGCGGCAGACTGGACAGACCTCAAGCCCGCGCTAAGTCAATGCCGCCATCGCTCGTATGTGGGCAACGTCTCCGTCCTGACTCATGATGGTCAACCGTATCGTTCAGTATCGCGATTCTTCACGGCGCCTAATTTTCCGATCCCGTTCAGGAATGCACTCCGCCCCAAGGAGAAGATATACATACCAACATGAGGAGTTTCAAGCTTGCCAAAGAAAGATAATCAGTCGGATGAAGGATAGCGTGCTTCGATCCGGACATTAACAACTTGCGAGTGATGGGTCGCAGAGCTTTGATCAGCTCAAAAGGACCTTACCGTCTCCTATAAGGATGGGTACCAAGTACATGTGGCCTGAATGAAATGGACGAAGACGATCTGAACGCCACTACTACAAGAGAACTTCAGTAGGCGAAGACCGTGACTGTGGGTTTTTCGAAGGTGGATTTCTTACGCACCTTGTATTCGAATTTACACAATACGAAACGTACCACTATGTTGAGTTTAGTCACCTAATTCCATCCGCAGATCGCGTTATAGAGGAATCTTTAGGAGTACCGGTCGCCAGTAGATATTGGAAGAAAGACGTGGTCGCGACTCGCGGTTCGCTTTCGTTCGGTATATTCCGGAAGGTTCTTACTGCAAATAATGTGGCCCAATGTGGCACTTACCCTCCAGTGACACCAAGTGCTCACAGACAGACTGTGTTCGAGTCCTCCCTCTAGAATATCCTGAATTAGTGGTATGTAAATATGGCATGATCAATCGTGACCCTTTCATCAGCTGAGCCAAATACAACTTCTGGCAAGTCATAGTCGGTTTCAGTTCCCGCCGCCACTCCACGTTGGGCCTTACCCATCACCCACGAGGACGGCAGTGACGGGACTATCGGTGAGATATGTAGAAAAATGCTTCAAGATACCTCGAGGCGCTAATCACTACGGTTAGATCGGAGGGCGCATGCTGGCCACACAAACTCAGGGCAAATGGGTCGTGTTGTACTTGAGAAGGTTCGTGACTTCGATGCCGTACGCAATGCGTCACGACAAGACACTGGTCTGCCAGTCTAGCGGCGACCATCGCAAACAGAATATTCTATCGAGACTAGTTAGCCTTACTGGGTCCTTGATGTGATCTGGCATCGTCTTCGCCCCCAGTGGCGCCGGCACATAGTAGATTCAAAGCCACAGGAGCAAGGATATCTCGATCCGGTTTTATACATACGTAACAGGATCTCTACACAGAGCGGATATGTACACCGATCGGTGTGTAGAGAATGCAAGCGCCCGCAAGATTTTGAATACAGTTGCATCGGGGCTGGTTGTACCGAAGCTGGTTGCATCGGGGTTGGTCGCCCCGGGCTCGTTGCATCGGGGCTGCTAGTTCGCTAAGGAAGTCCCACTGAGATCCCGCCACTCTTCACGTAACCTAATGCGAAGCAGCATACTATCCCCCTGAGCGCCGCATGCACGAAACCACAAGACCTTATAGCGCATAAGCCTTAAGTTCAGACTGTGCAGGTCGGATTCTTTTACGGAACGAAATTTAAACAACCCTGAGAATTTGGAAAACTGACCGGGAGAAGACTCGAGTGGGAGATGAGCGCATGATGACGGTGTCGCATGGTGAAAAGGAGATGTTGAAGATGGTTGCCGCAACGCCGTACGTTCTTCGACAGGGGCAGAACACGATTTCGAAGAACGTACGGCGTTGCGGCAACCATCTTCAACATTTCTTTGCTCGAAACTTTTTCGAAGTCTTGCACCATCCCGCTTGCCGTAGACGACTCCTGAGCAATTCTAATCAGCAACGCGAAGAAATGCGGACGAAGATATGAGCATACGTGTTTTAGAACGTACGGAGGCCGCTTTTGACGCTTTGAAAGGTTCTTCAAACATATATCTTGCGTACTGATTTGTACTGCGCATCATATTTGTAGTGAGCAGCGCTACAAATATGTCCTATTCCCGAATTGCGACTTTGAGCATCGACGAACAGCGCTTGACGGACCCCAAAAATGCCATAACATGAGATATCGCGGTTCAGGACCAATGGGAGCAGTAGTCATCCAGCTGGATCGTCGACGTTAGTATCATTCAACGCCAACGGCATATGAGAAAATACTACCTCGCCGGCCAGCACGGTGTGGTCAATTCGGAAGTGTGGAGCGAATTCTGCCGTATGTATGCAGCATTTGGCTGTACGGACCTGCATATTATTACTGATAGATGATCTAAAATCAATCAAGTGGAGCAAAAAAGCAATAAGCAAGTTTGAAACTATGCTTACAGCATAATGTAAAGGTCCTAGCTGACGTCCGAGTCCAAGGTCCTCTGTAACAAGTCATCGGCTAACCAAGACAATAAAGCAGATCGGGCGAGATGGCTCAAAGGACATAGAGCACCGACCTGTTCCATAGACTAGCGTATACTCGAAACGTTTCGTTCCGTATCATTTCGTCCGTACAAGTTTCGCGCAAGCTCAGCTGGTCGTCGGTGGCGGTCAGTGTTGAAGAAACGTCCGAATTTGACGTCGTCACGCCAGTGAACGGTTGCACCGAGCCGTGTCCCCGGAAAAAAACTCCCGATTCCCGATTTGCCGCCACCGCACGGGCCACATCGAGGAATGCAAGCCACTGGCGCCAACGCGGACGCTAACGCACCTGAACGACAAAAAGTCGGTCTCGACAGCGCATTCGCTTATCGAGCATCAACGTCAGACTGGGACCCGGGCAACGCATCACGCATCAGAGCTCAATGAGAGAAAGAGAAAGAGAATCTACTAATAATTCAAGTTCGCCACGATTTCTTCTGGGGTACGGAGCCTGTAGTAAAAGAGCCTGGAGTAAAAAGAGTCTGGAGTATGTATCGGCACTGAGACGACACGAGAAGGACGAGCGACAGGAAGATATCCACCGACGCTGACACAGATCCGGACTCCCTATACACGGAGCGGTAGACATGAGTAGCTTATAGACGTTGGACGTTGAACGTTGAGACGTGAATTGAATTGGATGGAGGAGGATGGAGGAGATGGGGTGGGGTGGGGCGCATGGCGAGTTCATACCTAGATCATGGAACGGCTAAGACCCGATGGACGATGGATGGACAGTAGACACAGAGGGGACAAGGTGGAAGGGGTACTTAAGACAGACAGAGAAGAGGAAATCATCGATCGATTGGAACAGAAACAGGGAAGAAACACAGGGAAGAGAAGTTTAACAGGCACAAAAGGTCGTAAGTCGAGGAAAGAGAAAGAGACTAGGAGGGATAGAAAGGGGGAAAGCAAAATATCCGGGTAGGAAGGGGAATAACAAAAGACAAAGGGAACGAAAAAGAGTGATAAAAGAGGAAAGTACCGGTAGATAGGGAAAGAGACGAGACGAGACGAGAGAAAGGAGACGAGGGCGATTTGCTAACGGTATGTTATAGCGCCGGCGTGAAAAATCGAGGGGATATATGCCAGCTAGGTTGGGCTACAGGATGAGACAAAAGACGGAGAAGAAGAAGAGAAAGAGAACTGAGAGCAGGCATCCGGGGCCAGTTACAGACATCAAGCACGACGTTGAGCGTTCATGATGCTTGCTTCGTCCTGAACCTCAACAGAGGAGCGAGTCCTGACAACTGGCACGTCTTCTTCAAAAACTCATGCTAAAAAAAAAGTCAGAACCATCAGCACACGCTCACCGCCACTCAGTACGCAGTAAAACCAACACACCTCAAGCAGCTCATTCGCCGTCGCCCGACTCTTCACATCCACACACAAACACACGCTCAAAAAGCTCTTCAGCTCCCTCGACAGCGCCTCCGGCTTCTTGAGTGTCGGCGTCCCATTCGTCGCGATCAAATACAACGCTTTCAGGGGCTCCTCGTCGAGGTACGGCGGCTCCTGCTCGATCATCTCGATCGCCATGATCCCGAGCGACCAGATGTCGACCTTCGCGCCGTACTCCTTCTGCTTCACGACCTCGGGCGCCATCCAGTACGGCGTGCCCACCATGGTTGCGCGCTTCGACTTTTGGTCCGTCAGTTTCGCGCAGAAGCCGAAGTCGGTGATTTTGACGCGGCCTTGGGCGTCGAGCAGGACGTTGTCGGATTTGATATCTCGATGGATGATATGCTGGCTATGGAGATGGCCCAAGCCCTTGCACGTCTGCACACATACGCCGAACAACCAATCAGCACCACATCCAATCCAACCCACCAACCACACAAGCCATCAAACACATACCTCATTCGAAATACAAGAGATCTGATCCTCCTCCAACGTATTATTCTCAATAATATCCGTCAGCGCGCCGCCCTCCATGTACTCCATCACGACCCAGAGCTCGTTGTTCTTGACGAGGTACGAGTTGAGGAAGTTGACGATGTTCGGGTGCTGCGACTCCTTCATGACGAGGATCTCGTTCACGATCAGCTCTTTCCGCGGCTGGTTCATCAGGTCCATCTCTTTGATCGCCACTTTCTTCCCCGTCGCGAGCGTTTTGGCGACGTAGACGTGGCCGGAGGCACTATGACGACGCCACACCACACCTTGTCAGCCAACTGCTTCCAAACGAAACGAAACGAACCGGAAAAGAGAATGATGAAGGGAGGGAAGGACTCACCCCTGCCCGATCTTCTTAATCTTGCTATAGATCAACTTTGGATCATCAGGACTAACCACGCTCCTCAACTTCTCCATAATCTGCACCTCCGTCATCGTACTAATCCTCTTCTCCACCTCCTTCGCCTTCGGCTTCTCCAGCGCCGCCGCCGCCGCCGCCACGCTCCCATCTCCATCCTCCTTCCCACCCCCAATCACCAGCTTATCCGCAGGCTTCTTCGTCGGCTGCAGAGGCTTCACCACCGTCGCAGGCGTCTTCTCCGCACCAGCAGCACCGGAAGGCTTCGCCGGCGTCCTCTGCTCCTTCTCCGTTCGTTCCGCCCTCTCCCTCTCCCGTTCATCCCTATCCCTCTCCCTCCTCTCCCGCTCCCTCTCTCTCTGCTCCCGATCCACAACCCTCTGCTCCCTCTCCCTCTCCCTTTCGCGTTCCCTATCTCTCTGTCCCTGCCCCTGCCCCTGTCCCCCAGCAGGCGACAAACTCTCCTTCCTCTCCGGCACCGGTCCCTGCCCCTGCCCTTGTCCCGGCTTCCTCTCCCTCTCCCTATCCATATCCAAACTCGCCCCTCCGCCACCCTGACCCTGCTGCTGCTTCGCCCTCGCCCTCAAATCCGCACTCGAAGCCGTCGCCTGTTCTTTCCCACTTCCACTCCCAGGCGCAGACGGAGCCGGCCGATTCGCAGTCAACAGCGGTCTAGGCGGCGCAGGCCTCGAAGGCTGTAACGCCCCTATTCCCCCACCTCTTCCTCCTCCTTCTCCCCCTCCTCCTCCACCCCTTTCCCCACCACCTCCGCCAACGCCGATGCCTCCACCAACGGACGCCTCATTCACATAATCCGCCGCACGGGCGAGCGCGGCGGGCGTGCCTGGCGTGGATGTATCGGCGCGGGAGATGGAGGGGCGGGAGGGCGCGTCTGGGGTTTCGGGGAGGGGGGGTAGTTTGGAGGAGGTGCCGGTTCCGGCGAGGCCGGTGCCTGCGTTGAAGCGGGCGGGTGCGCCTGTGGCTGGTTGGGGTGTGAGTGAGCATCATAGGGCGGGTGGATGGATGGATGGAGAAAGGAACGGGAAAGAGGGAAGGAGATGCGGAGAGAGGGGAGGGGGTGAGTAAAGGGAGGGAGGGATAGAGTAAAGGGAGGAGGGAGGGAATGGACGGATGGATGGAGGAAGGAAGGGGTAAGGGACTTGATCGAAAAAGGGTGTAGGGATCGATGCTTGGGTGCGGAAGGACAAAAAAGCGGAAGGAAAGAAAAGACACTCACCCCCCATCCTCGTCGCCGGCGAAAGTCCCATCTCCTCCATCTCCCTTTTCTGATGGTCCGTATAAAACTCGAGCACATCGAGCACCGCCTGCGGATCGCGCTGATAGTCCTCGCGCGTGATGGCCGATTTCGTGAGCAGTTTGCTCCATTGTTCTGGCATACCCTGTAGAGACGTGGTTCGTTCGCACATTCGAGCAGGATTAGTTTCACCCCTCCAAAATACGCCGCGAGGGGGAAAGAAAGGAACACTCACCGTAAAAGCCCCACTAACCGGATCAAACCCCACATGGACCTTATGCACGAAATTCGTCGGCGCACTCAAACTCCCACTCAACGGACTCCTCGAGTAAATATCGTCCTGCCATCCGTACAGCTCCTCGTCCCCTTTGAGAGCGAAATAGAAACGCCGGTTGGGAGAGGAGGTCTCGAGGAGGAGACAGTACGGTTTGAGGTCGGTCCGTTCGATGTTGGAGATGTCGGAGAGTTGGATGGTGGTTTGGGCGGAGGAGGCCTGTGGGGTGCGAGGAGGGGGGAGGGGGGAGAGAGAGGTTAGTGAGGTTTGATTGGAGGGAGAAAGGGATGAAGGGCGGGCTGTCTGAGCTGCTCCTATCAAGTTGAAGCGAGAACTACGGAGCAAAGTCGCTCTGAAAATGAAAACAGAAAACAGAAGGAAACACCTCCAACACCCTCTCGCGATCATCGTTCACGTAGTGAACAACATAGTGAATCCACCCATCGTGTCGTGACGTACACACACACCCCCTGTCACTCGCCGGCACGACACTGAGATGCTCAGCTCACTCATCCACCCATTCCGAAACAAACTCGAGTAAAACAAATGAACTCGACACCTCGACACATCCGAGATGAACTCCAACGGATCATACAAACGGTCTCGACACACTCCCTCACCCACTCACCCGAGATGAACTCGAGGACTCGAATAAGGGCAGGAACAAGGAACACGACGCGACGCGTAATAAGGGACGAGGACGAAACGGGGTGAACTTATAATACAAGGGGATAAGTAACCCCCGCCACGGCCGTGTGATGTGTGATGGCCGCTGTGAGTGTGTGTAATGTTTGACTGACTGGGTGGGTGGCTGGGTGTGTGATGTGATGTTGAGCTGGCTGGCTGGGATGACAGCTCACGTCCGCCGATGGGACGAACGGCAATCCCGACAAAAGAGCGACGTTGCCAGCGAATAGGTGCACAAATGAGAGATACACCTCGTTCAATATCACAGCGAACATACACGCTCGCGATCTCACAGCTCGCGATTGATAGCGATCCCCCACGATGAGAAGAAAAAGCGACAAAGAAATCGACGAACCTCATTCTTATGCACCGCGAGCGTCTGCTCCCTCAATATCAGATACTTCTCCCTCCAAAGCCAATTCGCGAACGCATCCTCCTTAAACCCCACCGTCCCACTCCTCACAATCCCCGCCCCCGACAATCCCTGTCCCCCCATGCCGTCTCCCCCGCCTGCTCTCCCGCCTCCCCCGAGCTCCGAATTCCTCTGCATATGGCCTGGAAAACCGCCGACGGCGGGAGAGCCGCCTATGCCCGAATACGACGTCGCATAGGACGTGTTCGAAGCGGGCATGACGACGGGGGACTGATTGTTGTTGTTGTTGTTAAGGGTGGTGGTGGAGGCGATGGAGGGCGCGTAGGCTGTAGTAGAAGCGAAAGAGGACGCGGTGTTGGAGCGGGAGGGGGAGTTGTAGGAGGACGCTGAGGAGGGCTGCCGTGTGGGTGCTTGGGGTGCGGGCCGGGAGGGCGTGAGCGAGGAGGCTGTAACTTGGTTGTACGCCATGAATATGATCTGCCGACCGTCGCTAAATGCTTTTCGCTTTTCCGCGAGCGGATTGGTCGTTGGCCGATGCGAGTCGAGTCTCTACTGGTCGTCGCCTGCTTGCGTGCTCCGTCGTCGTCGTCAACGTCGTCAAAAAAGCCCTAGTTTATGAATGGTGAGGGCGCGAACGGTGAGTGTGAGATGGAAGGCGTCGGGGTAGACGAGAGAGACGAAGGGGACGGCGGCTGTCAATGCCTCGGATGCAACCGTCGACGTTCCTTCTCTGGGCCAGCTTTCCCATCACATCCATTCGGTCCGCTCAGCCTCGACACTCACATATATCTACCTTCCTTTTCTTTTTTGTCCAGCTCGAAGGACGCCATCGCCATCACCCACAGCCGGTCGTCATGCCGTTCACATCTTCATCCACATCTCCTCCAACACTTTCCTTCATGTCTCGTCCATCGCGGCCGGAGGTCATTCAAGGTACATACAATCCTCGGTGGTGACTGGCTATCCCCAGTTCGTGGTACAGTGCCTTGCCATCACCACCCATCGGCCAGCTCGGCGACCACAATACTTACAGCCTCAGTTCCGACCGACTATCACCATTCGATCGCTTTGTGGCGTTTGTCCTCTAAACATATTACCTTCCTAAACATACCTTTCGTCCGCTCAAGGCCCCCTCTTCTTCCGTTCGAGCCTGGACTCAAAAGCTTAATGCCATCCTTCTTTCGAGGTATTACTACTATGTGGAGTCCTCTTTCCTCCGTCGCGGGTTTTACTTGCTCACAGATGTGTTGTGCGCGGTGGTCTCTGAATCATGAGCCTCACGAAGGTTAGGCGTGTGATTACACATCGAGCCCTGGGAGTGGGCAGGACTTGGACTGTATGCATGTAAATTGAGGTGTTAAGATAGTACGTTGTGCACGCCTTCTCGCTGAGATTATTCGATCGATGATATGGCGATCGTCGACCACCTCGAGAGAATGTGGCCCTCGATAGGTTACGGTGTGTGGCGTAAGTATGTACGATCGGAAAATCGAGTACGTGTAGCCCCGTTCCAAATGAGATATCTATTTATCTAGGAATCTCTCGATGGTCCTGGACGAAAAGTATCTATGAGTCAGTTGGAGGATTTGGCAAAGGCTCCGATACTCGTGGACGCAGGACCACCTCCGTTTTGAACTGCAGCTGCCCAATGACCTCGTATGGCCGCCCACATGAAGTTCGGTACCCTAGCGTTCGATAAAGTAACCCGCAGGAAGCCTGCGTGAAGTTACGGAAGGAATGTAGAACGGAGACGTGAATATCGACATCTTCAACGCTAGGGATGTCCAACTTGACATCCTGGCTGAAACTTAGACTATGGTGCGTTCTCTCTCGTATTCGACTCTTGCTCTTTGCTGATAGCGCTGAGTGTAGTTCATACGCTTCGCGGCTGTCCCCAAAGCTTGCTAATGTCTGGTAGTCTCCACCAACACTGCATCCTCTGGCCCGTCCTATGCCCCGTGCTTGGTAAGTAGCCCCTAATTTCACTTCTACGTTTATATGGCTACTTCCCCCTCCTTCTCCCCATCTTTTATCCCGGCTTTCCCAACTTCAAGGCAAGCCCCAACCATCTTCGAGAACCATGTATCTCGCTCGCAATTATCATTCATGACCTCTACTAGTAGGTAGTCAGCTCATGACGCTTCTTCATCGGTGAGTTTCTACCTTTTGCGTTCATGAATATCCTTCAGTTTAGACTCACACATACTTATAGTGGTCTAGAGTAGGGTTCGCCGCCTCTCAATCTTCAGTTTGCCCATGTACTAGTATGTTTTGGAAAGTCTCTTGTATCGTACTAGTACAAGTTTGATCTCCGATATAGTGTCCCCCTTTACCTTCTCTTGCGCAGAAGTGCAACGCCAATACCGAACCTGCCATCCTAGTGGGAATGCTCCAGTGCCTAACGAGTGTGGCACCATGCCGGGTGTGTGATGGGTGTAGCTAATGATTCTAGCAGGTATGGCGATACACAGGTGTCTGATGTCATGGTGGTACCATACCAGTTCGTGGCGGTATGGCAGCGTCCGGCACGTCTGACGGCCGTCCCTGCCGCGAAGTTTGAGAATCGCTGATGATGTATACTGCGAGAACAGTGCACGTGGATATCAATGCAGCTGAAAGATCACCGAGAGACACAACAATTGTTAGTCCGGTGAAGACGATGAGTGAAGACAAGAGGAGATATCGTCGCACCAGCGTAAGCATTAGAGGGCAGCAGTGAATAAACCGTCTCGCTCCAGTGAATTTTGAAGGTGTAATCCGAACGAGGAAAAAAGACAATGAGCAAGTAGGAGATCACTTACGATCGACCAAAAAGTTTTGAATTATTAGCAAAATGCGAGCGATGGCGAACGGAGGACTAGCCCTACCTGAACCTAGAACTGACCCGACGAAGGTGAACAGGTACAAAACCACTGGCCATATAAACCATGTCATGAGCTGCTCGGTGTAGTCCTTATGAAAAAACCATCCCCCTATCCCGTCTTCTGGCGCTGCGCTTTCCAGATAGGAAGCGAAGAACATCCTTCGAAGGGTACTAGTTAGCACATCATAGATCGTGTTGAAAAGAAGCAGAGAGTAGTAGACATGGTCGTTGTTATCGCTGCAATAAAACGTGACCGGGGACATACAAGATAACAATAATAACACCTAGAATAAAGTCAAGGGTGTTCGGAGCAGCGTCCTCTCCCTTCAGCGCTGGAACAACCTGGCTGATACCCAAGGCAAGGAGTATGCACAAGATGAGGAGACGGTATGGCGTAACCGGGAACCTATTCCTTCCTTCTGGCATGCTGAATGAATATACGTCGTTGTGCAAGTAGTAGCGGTTGTAGGGTGTAGAGCAAAAGCGAGTGCCGCGCGGGGAGGGGGGGTGCAGAGAAAGCTGAGGATGGGGTACTCAAAGGGTTGATTGATACTTATACGGGTCTGATTACGCATGCAGCGCACGTCGAAGGAGCGTAAACGACATCAATAGGCTGCATTGCCATGTCCCATGGTTACTCGTTGGTTACTCGAGGAATGTTCCGAGGAGGGCACAGTAGTCGCTGGGTCTTATTAGATGGACGCCCAGTTGACAGATCGTTCCCCAGGTGTTCTGATCCCATAGAAATGCAGAATAAATTACCTTTTCTGCGCGAGCCTGCGAGCCAGTCGCCTGATCGCGGTTTGGCGCCATGATTGTGGCCCATACTTACCACGACGCTCACGGAAAACATTCAAAAATATCAATCAGTCATCTCTACGAACCACACATTCTTAAAAACACTCATCTCTCGTCCATCCATGACCTCCACAGTTCGAGTCTACATACTCCATACTCCGTATCACCCAACTCTCATTCTCCCTCCTCCTCTATCCAACTCCCCTAGATACACTCTCTAACCCCTAATCCCCGCTACTCATAGCCATGCGCACGACCACCCTCCCACGCAGGAACCCCAAACCTCCTCCCCAACACCACAAAACTGACACACCAGAGCAATATCCTCGCCCTCGCGTCTAGTCCTCCGTCGTCTTTGGCCTGACCGTGACTCCAACTCTCGCCACCCGTAAACTCCTCCAACACCCCCAACACATATCCTTCGTCCAGGAACCTGAGCGCACGGATAGATTGGGGCGTGAGGAGATTGGAGAGGAGGGTTTGGAGGGGAGTTTGTGTGTGATTTGATCTGGAGGTGTGGGCTGGGGTAGTGGTAGAGGTAGAGGTAGTGGGTGTTGAGAGGGAAGGGGTGGGAGCAGAGAATGGGGTGGAGAAGGAGGTGTTTAATAGTGAAGCGTATCCTTCGTCAGACGAGACCGAGACCAAAGAGGACGGTGCGCTCTCCACAGCCTCCCTCACACTGTTCGCCTCTCCCGCCCTCGACTCCGCGGCCGACCCCGAGCCCACAGGCATCTGAGATTCGACCCCCTTCACCGGAGCGTTAAACTGCACCTTCGGACGCATATATATTTCCTCAGTCACATACGGCCGTACCGCCTCGCGCAGGATCCATTTTTCTGTGAATGACCATTTCGAGTTCGAGTTCGAGTTCGAGTTCGGAGGCTGGTCTGAATCATATGGACCGATGGGCCCTTCTGGAAGGTTTAGATTTAGGTGGGGTCGGACTTTGACTGATCTGTGGGTGTGTTCAGCCAAAATAAACGTATAGAAGAAGAAGTCAGATGCATGTATGCGTTCTTCAAGTTGAAATTTGTAGGTAGACACAAGGAAAAAGATACGTACGGCGGGAGCGAATCGACGTATTCGACGAGCGTATGGTCCAAGAAGGGCGGCCTGCCTTCGATAGAATGCGCCATCTCTGCGCGGTCGCCTTCGGAGCTGATGACGAAGTTATGAAATACGGTCTTCGACACCGCATACTGTCCATGTCCAACATATCAACATTAGCACCTTGCTCACTTCCCAAAAAAGTAGAAGCGCAACAAGTACCCACCATCGACACATTCAAAGGATGCCACCTCCCACCTACCGCATTCCACCTCACCTCCGGCCTCAGCCCCTCCGCAATCACCTCCGTATGCTCACATCCTCTTCCCTCCAAACCCAAAAATGAGAATTCCTCTCTCGCCTCCTGAGAAAAGAGTTCACCGCCGGGACACATACTCGCAACGAACCTATGCCCAAATATCCCTCCCAACATCTCTCTCCCCGCCTTCTCGTCGTCATGTCTCAGCGGCCTCATACTCACATGATCCTGCTCCAACCCCTCCTCTTCTCTCCCTCTCAACGCTCTCTCCAGATCCCGCGCAGACGGCAGTTCGAACCCGAGGCCGACAGCAGAAGGATCAACAGCCCTCAAATAATCAACCCCCTCAAACGCATACCCCCCAAAAATCTCGTCCGACCCTTCCCCGCTCAACACAACCTTATACCCCTCCTCCCTGATAGCCTGCGCCAATAACGCCTTCGCAGACGGGTGGAACGTGAAGTTCGGCTGTTCGGTGTGCCAGACCGTTTCTTCGAAGTTGGATACGAGCGCTGATTCGGTGAGAGGGACGATGTAGGGATGGGCGTTGATGTGGTGGGCCATGCGGAGGGCGATGGGGGTTTCGTCGTGTTCGGGGCGATCGGGGAAGGAGAGGGTGAATGTTGCGATCCGAGTCGTCGGTTTCGCGTTCGCGTCCGCGTTCACATTCGGATCTTCGTCCTTATCTTTTGAGGTGCAGGTCGGGGTTTCTCTGAGTAACGCAGCAGCGATCCCCGCGACCGCCGCGCTATCGATTCCACCGCTCAGACATACAGCGAGCGGGACGTCGGAACGCAAACGGGCTCTGATTGCGGAAAGCAGTCTGTCGTGCACGCCTTGGATCATGGACGGTACGGTGCGGGGTTCAGGGGCGGTGGAGGTGGAGGTGGGGAATGTGCGGTCCCAGTATTGTTGGATCGTGAGGTGGCCGGAGGTGCTGAATGTGAGTTGGTGGCCCGGTGGGAGCTTATGAACGCCTATTTCACACAAGTTCCCATAAGTGAGTGAATCAAAAGGAGGAGTGTAAAGTAAAGATGTGATCATGATCGTACCTTTAAAAACCGTCCTCATATCAGTAAACTCCCCCATCTGCACTATACTCTCCACATCCCACTCCGCCTTCCACCCATACGCCAAGAACGCTTTCATCTCGCTCGCCAGGAGCAGTCTCCCTTTATTGTTGTCGAGCGTATAATATAACGGCTTGATCCCGAACCTGTCCCGTGCAGCGAAGAGTCTTCGGCGTCGGGAGTCGTAGAGGACGAAAGCGAACTCGCCGCGTAGGTGGAAGAGCATGTTTTGTCCGTAGACGCGATACCTATCCCATTCCATTCCATTCGAAATGACCACCGCATTAGTAAGCATGACGAGTACTGTCACGGCTGGATAAATAACCCACAAATGCACCACCAGCTCCGAATCGCATCTCGTCTTAAACACACACCCCCTCCCTTCCAAGCACCCCCTCAACTCCTCATAATCATACAACATCCCATTCACCACAGCGTGCACCGTCCCGTCCTCACTGTGCATCGGCTGTTGGCCGTGCTCGAGATCGATGACGGACAGACGGGTGTGTCCGAGGCCAACGAGGACGGTGGGATTCGAGGACGAGGATGTTGGTGAGGATGAGGATGTTGAGGTCCAGGTGCCGGAGGAGTCGGGGCCGCGGTGGTGTAGGGAGGCGAGGGAGGAGGTGAGTTGGGAGTGGAGACGTTGGGCGGAGGTCTGGAAGGATGGGGTTAGAATATTGGAAAGACGGCGATGATGAGGAGAGGAAACGTACTTCTTGGGCTGCGCTCGTCCGAGGCGAAGGATAAAAGCAGGCCGTAATTCCACACATTCCGAACACCAATGCTGAAGACAAGACCGCCCTCTCAAAATTCGTTGGAGTGGACTTATAGCCAAACCGCTTAGACGGGAGCAGGGGAGGGGGAGAGTAAAGAAAAGCGATAATCTGGGAGAGTCGTATGAGGCCTCTTAACGAAAAGATTGAGTTCTCCGGTACACCAAACATCAACATCCAGAATCACTCACCACCCTCGAGTGAGGACTTTCGCAAGACCGTTTTGTTTGGGCGGCCGTCGCGAAGTCAAAGCATCAGATACTGTTGTCTTGCTGTATACGTCTTCTCTGCCACAAGATGCCATTATCACGTTACAAGACGCGCTCGGTGGTTCCTATCAGTCCTTGATTCGTGCAGATCAAATATAGAGCGGACTCGGAATTTGTGAGCGGGACTGCGATCTCCATGTGAGCAATTCCAATGGGCCTACCTATATAAAATAAAGCATTTAGCTCCAGTAAAGAGACCACTATGAGACAACAATCCAAAGATGAACGCACCAACCAAAGTATTAGCACCACCTTCCATCCAATAGACGCGTCCAAAGAAATCGACGTCCAGCCACCACTGTGGTGGTGAGATATCGCAGTCTCCTCGGATGACCGACCCCATCGCAAACCTCGCGCCCGACACGGAGCAAAAAAAACCACAACATCGCCACAAGTCCTTGGAGCATCGTTTCCCGAGTCGCAAGAGATGCAAGTCACCAATAGGAAGCCACCAACAGGAGTCGTGATGAACTCTACATGTTTAGGACAAAGCAGCAGAGGGCAGCGAGAAGACGGTCTGCTGGCACCAGAGAGCCAGAGCGAGTATCCTTCCTGATCGTATGAAAGGTAGTTTGTTGTCACCGAAGGCGCATTTGCAGATGCAAGGCCCTACAAACTACCATTGCAAGTGGAAGAACTTCACAAGTTCGTTGAACCGAACCATGGCGCCAAAAATTCAATTCTACTTCTAGCGGGTTTTGCCGAAAGCGCCGCCACGTCCTCGGTGTCAGTGGCGTCGGTTGATTGTGGCTCGATTCAGCACAAATTCATATTTTCTCTTCCCTTCTCTGATGCTCAGGCTGACGCTCTAGCGTTGCTCTAGCGTACCAGCCACAGAATAGCGACACTCCTCTGATGATGACTCGAAGTTCCCCGTACGCACACAAGTACGACTGAGTACAATTACAACCAGAGTAATTTTGTAAATGGAGGAAAGAAGTAGGCATGAGCACGAGAGGCATACTGTAGACAAAGACGGCATAAGTAGAGTGTCAGAGTTAGAACTATGGTCCATATGAAAACATGGGCATAAAGTAGGGGCTATAAGGGCAGACAAATAAAAGAAGGAAGAGGCATGGATATGCATATACTATAGGAGGTCTGAGGCTTTAAATACCACGGCATCACCAACAGGCTAACCAACAACACCCCAACAACACGAGTAAGACGACAAACTAAAACGACCATAAGGATACCGTGACGAACAACACCCTTCAAATGCCAGACCTAAACCCACAACAGACGAACGAACGAAAGAAAGAAGAGACGAAACAGAAAGAAAGAAAGGGAAAGGAAGTCTATAAGTAAAATGAATTCATCGAACAACAAAAGTAAGAAGTCAGAAGTCTAAAATAGCAGTCAATTAGAACGATCTCTACACGCACGCCCGGCGGGCGGTGGAAGAGGGATGAGGATGAGTATACTGATGAGGTTATGAGGTTATGCGTTTATGAGTTGAATGAGAGTCAAAACTAGAGACAGGGGAACAAGACGCGGAGAGGGACACGAAGGAGTCAGTGATGATACAAAACCATACATATGTATATATGAGAGTGAATTGATGTGCGCGTATAGACAAGACAAGAGTAGGAACCAGAGTCGGAGCCGGAGAAAGAGAAAGAGAGTCAATTTACAATCCTTGTCCGTCCGTAAGTTAAAAATGAAGCCGATAGGTCAGGAGAAATCAGAAGGCGTTCCCCATAGCGAGGACGCGATAGAGCGCATTCGCGTCTTCAAAAGCCGAGTGCCTCAACGCAAAATGCGCCATCTCGGCAGAATCAGCGTCCGAAGCGGGATCCACGATACCCAGTTTGATCAGGGAGTTGTAAAAGCGGCAGAGCTATAAAATAATCCAAATCAGCCAACGATTCAACCTCAAAAAAAAAAAGCGGGAGATGAGAAGAGAAAAGGAAACACCGACATTCTGCACCCCCTTCTCAAACCGATCATCCCCACTCAAACCCTCCCTCCTTTCCCTCTCCCTCTCATCTACCCACATAACGCTCTGCTGCACGAACTTCCCCAACATCTCGCTCCTTACCATATCCGCGATCGTTGATTTCCCGCCCGTAGTCAGATCCACGGCGGGCGTCGTGTCCCGCAGCAATCGGCCCACGACATCGAGCGTGGCGAGAGTAGGGGGCAGTTGGGCGAGGACGTCGAGGTAGGTGGAGGCGCCGTTAGGGTTGGATTTGGATGGCAGGAGGGTAAGGAGTGAGACGAGGATGGGGTGGGCGAGGATAGGATTGTGGGCGATGAGACCTGGAAGATCCATCGACGTTATGACCGGGGGATCAATCAACTGTGGCAACAAAGGCCTGAGAGTCTGAAATCGCCCATGTCGTTAGTTCAGTTCGAAGTAGTAAGATGGCGAACTTACGCGTTGCTCAGAAAGAGTGAGCACACGATCACGCGCGGCGAGCAGTAACGTCATGCCTCTCGAGAACATCCGTGTGCGTTCATCTTCCTCGGTGGTCACGGGAGACTTGTAAGTGGCATTAGCAGCGCTAGAGGCTTTCGAAGTCGTAGAAGTGACTGGGGAGCGGCTGCTGTAGGGCGACGGAGTCTGAGGGCCAGACGAGCCAGTACCATCGGCGGACAAGGGAGAGTCGTCTCTGAAACTACGAACAGTATACTTCGGATTACTACCTGGAGGCCAAGTAGAAATGTAGCAGACTTACGGGTCGAATGATCCCTTGTCTGTCTGCGTCTCCTCGTCCAAAACCAGGTTGGCAGGTCTTAATTTGGGCGGCAACGGCGAGCGAGCAAGGGTGCTGGGTGAGTAGGGTCCAATCTATATGTATTTGGGCGGTTAGCTACCAGATAATTTGAATGACAGGCAGAGACACTGAGCGCCCATCTATCGCTGACAGTAGCCGAGTGGCCCAACTGACCGGAGTCAGCGGCCCGCAACCGGACCGGCCAATATCGGTCGCCACACAGTTATCGCTGAACTGCACGAAAGAAAAACCTGGACCATTGACTGCACTCTACAATCTGAGGGCATAATATGACACGGAGAAGATAATAGTCTCCGGGCCCTGTGAAATTGGCAGACTATATCACTTGTGAATGAGCTCGGGCGGGGCAAAGGGTGCAGACCCTTGGTCACAAAAAGATACATGATCTCTGCAAGATTAGGATGAGGACTCCGTTCGAACAATACATCATCCGAGGGCTGCAGATTCGGGACCCAACGACTATGAATTAGACCTCGTATGTTTATCGAGGACCTTTTTATTCATCTCCCATCTGCATAACATGCAGAGATGGATGACCAAAAGAGCGAGAGGACGTACATCGTTGCCGTCACCCTTGAGAACCTTCCAGAGGACCCAGACAAGCTGCTCGTTGTCGCTCGCAGATCCAGTAGATGCCACTTGGACTGCAGCATGCTTTTCCTTGACGAAAGTGCCATACAAAGCCGAATGAAACGGGTTGATCGAGATTGGGTGCGGGGCATATAGCGCATAGAGTATATAAGAGACCAAGATCCTTTGGGACAGCTAAAGAATGGAAAAAAACGGTCACAGCACACATCAGCATGACATTGAAAAGTGGGCGGTATGATAGACTTCGGGAACAGTGATGATGGGTATGGATATATCACTGACCTCCGCTCGGGATGAGTCGAGGAGAGGTAAGAGCGCGTCAAGGGCCAGCTGGAACCGCGCAGTGGGCTGTACGAGAGAAACAAAAGCCTGAGCTGCGGTCGAGCAGGGTAGATTGTAGGCCCTGGAGAGCAGATGAGAGACGGATGCACGGAGGGGGTCGTGCTGGACGTGGCCGATGGTCTGATTCTGGCCGCCAGTCGGAGCCTGCATCGGCGGGAGCAGCGCAGTGGCCTGCATGCGAAGTGTCGCTGAGTATAGCAGCCTGCTAGAACAGTTGTCAGACTCAAGTCAGACTAGCTCCGGCGGGAGTGGAAGACTCGGCCAAGGGAACAAGCTCTGCTGTAGATCTCAATCACTCCGAGCCGTGGGAACTGTCTTTGCCACAGCTGTCCCCTCAGCCACAGTGCCACACACTGCTTCCTTCTTGACCACCACCACCACGATAATGACACAGGTGCATTTCCTGACAATAACTGTTACTTCGCTCTCGGACAAACTATATCCTTCGGGCCGAATCGCTCAACCGACTTCATGCCTCGTTTCCTGACCCCTGATGAAATCTTCGCCCATGATCTCTATTGTTTACAGCCTTTTTGGCCTCAGCTCTGCCTATTCTCCTTGACCTCGACCAAGGGCACATGCGCAACTATTGTCAGAAATATACAAATACTCTGTCATCTTGACTCCATCTATCTCTCCATTTTCCATACCCGACGATCCAAGCTATGTGCATGGTGTCACGAAACACCCCCTGGGTACTGGCCCGTGGCTCGCGCCTCCCGCCGATCTATCTCCTGCTCCGGTCTCACTCTTTTGTCTTGTGCGATAGACGTCCTGGCTCGCTTGTCTACTTTGCAAGACATGATTCGTCCTTCGGTTGATGAGCGATGCATCGCTCAACGGCTTCTTCTGTCTAATTGCCAAATCAGTACAACCATAGGTGGCAACACAATAAGACGAGCAGTCGCAGACAAAGTTGTCATGCCGTTGGCCTGTACCACGAAACAACAGTACATTGACCTACATTTCTAGATGCTGTACCCACGTTACAACCGTCGCTTTTAGCTTCCGTCAGAGCAGTATATAAGTCTTGTGAAAGCAAGACGTTCCCCCCAACCAAGCCTTCGCAGTCTCTCTCTTCCTCACTCACCTTCGAGCTCCACCGCACTTACCTCTCTCTCTAAGCTTTGAGCTTCTACGAGCTACCTATCACCCACACTACCCAACTCTCAAACCTCCCAAGCTCTCCCTCTCTACCCAACTGCAATGGACTCTTTCGTCGACATCATCTCCGCACTCTCTTCTTCCGCCTCCGTCGACCCTTCCGTCTCGGAGCAGCCACGAGATGAGGTTCCCGTTGAGCAGGAGTCTCACATCTCGAACTCTACATATTGTGTAGTCGCCTGAGCGTCTTGAGAGATCCGTGAGTATCACTTTTCTCTTCGCATTCTTTCTCAGCAGCGTTCGGGGTCCAGGTACATACTCACGTCGCACCTTTGTGTTAACAGAAGTGATCTATTGACTTGGCGGCCACATAAACGGTCGCCGTCAATGTCAATCATCCAAGACCTTCACCAGCGCTACCACCACCACCACCACATCACCCGTGTCATGATCATACGCCCTACCACGACCCACCCCCCTTTCCACCTTCTCGCTTCAGCGATACACCCCATTCTTTTTTCTATCTCCATTACATCGTCGTGTACATTCTTCGTTCCCCACAATTACACTCATGATGCCGCACGTGCAACGTCCAAACGCTCCTTCACGCGCATTGACACAACACTTACACTTACACTTATGTACTTCTACCTCTTTTTATTTTCGTCTCCGTTTGTTTCTCTCTCTGTTCCTCTCTCTGTTCCTCTCTCTGTTCCTCTCTCTGTTTCTCTCTCTGTTCCTCTCTCTGTTCCTCTCTCTGTTTCTCTACGTCCTGTGTCCGGCACTCTGTATCGTCTTGCCCATCATCTATTCGCTTCGCTCTTCTCTTACTCTCTCCCTCTGAGACTACCTACTACCTACTTCTTGACCTGGGACTGCTTGACGTAGCGTTCTTCTTTCTTTCTCCCTCTTTCTTCTTTCTTCCTTTCTCTCCCCTACCATTTCTTCTCATATTTTAGGACATGGACCCGTGTTCCTCTCCTATATGGCCCGTTTTGATTTGACTTTTCATTTTTTTTGGTTCTTTGGTTCGTGACTGGTACTACACATCTTACACTAACGGTATGAAATAGTACCTGACCGGTTGAACCTGTCAATGTCAAACTCACGACCGACTGAACGACGAAAATCTCCTCTGATTGATTACTTGGAGCAGTGCAAGTGACATGCAGAAGCCGTCGTGGCTGTGACTTTGACCGCCGCGTTACAGCTCGGGAAACAAACGACGGGTGTATCACAAACAACATCGTATTAGAGTGAGTCTATACATCACACTGTCTCATGCAGAAGTTCCAATGGCACCAGGACCTGGACCCGAGCCGAAGGGCCAACGCACAGAAAGAATTGATCCAATGAGGGCTTGGAGCTCGAAGGTCAAGTCGACCGAGTCGTGGAGGAGAGCCCGATCCTCAGGGAGTGGAACTAGGACGGGGTACAAGAACGTCGATCATGGTGCACAGGCTCAGATATTTGGGCGACCCGAAGGTGGGCCAAGTTTGAGTGTCGGTACTGCGATACTGTTTATGACCCTTCTCAGGCTCTTTCCCCGATAATGACTCGGAGGCTTGTGCAGGAACCGCACCAGAACCAGGGTGAATATGCAGCTCGGGATGCTTCTCTTTCGCTACGATAATGATTAAGAAAGCCTGTCAGTGATCTGGCGTGAGATGAAAGTGAGTTGCTGTTAAAAGGTCGCCTGTCCTTCCTGGAAACGACGAGGCTAATGTCGGATGAGTAGAAATTTGCGGCGGATATTCTAGTAGTTGTTGTACCAATATCAAGTCTAGAAAATGGAATGAACGAGAAGTGGCTGATCTAAGTACCTGTTGGCGGTCACTAGTTAGTGAGAGGAAGAGAAGGACACGGTGACGACGCGGAATTTGGACACAAAGGTGCTGACACGCGGTGCTTGAAAGTTTGAACTCCGCACCTTTTTCGGCAACTTGGTCGAACGCCACTCGTGGCGAGAACCACTGACTCGCGAACAAAATTGACGTCTCCATCCAGCTCCATCCTTCTCTTCGTGAATCGCCCCAATTCTAAGTTTCGGTTCATTACAGCAATTTGCAGAATCGTAGTCGCAGTCGCTTTTTTCTGCGATGGCGCTTGCGGCTTCTTCTGACGCAACCGACTCCCATAACAGGTTGTGAGCGCCACGACCACCGTCCTCTGGCGGCGGGCCACCCTCCACTGTAAAGCAATGTTTCGAGATATCTAGATCTCAAAAATTGTACAAGTGATTCTAGTGTGTTGTTGACACACTCACAGTCCTAAAACCCAATATTTAAGTGGCAGCATCGAGGCTGGCTCGAGGACGAGCACTGTGGCCCCGTGTAGAGTGGCCCGTCGGAATGGCCGGAGACAGCTCCGAGTGGAGCACAAACTTCTCCGCGAGAAATCTGGGTGCGACTACGATTCTGCAAACCGCTGTAATTACAGTGTAACTTTCTGAGCCTACCTCTACTTACATAATAGTATGCAGGCTATTATAGGAAGAATCTCTATCGTATCTGGCTTACACGAGGTACAATATTCCATCGAAACTGACATCATCAACCTGCTCCAAATGTCAAACAAGGATATGCGGTACGTCTCTCTCCCTGTATAATTGGTAGATGTCAGGCGTCTCAAGAACCTGGAACTGAACTTGAAACCTCTCTGCGACGTGGCCCGTGTTGAACAGCGACGAGGCGTGGCAAACCTTCACTCATAATCGTCTAAGGCCCTACGAGGGCGTCGAAAATACAGGAAACCCACACGTTCTTCGGGAAGCATGTTCTGGCCTCGAGCTGGAAGCACAAAAAGCACTCAGGTTTCTGGCCGCCGTCCGATCTCGACAGAATGCTCTCCATCCAATTTCTTGCCTCCCGCCCGAAATACTCCGAGAGATCTTCACTCTGGTCGCCATGGATGAGGATGAATATTTACAAAATCGCATAGAAGACTATGAATCTGACGACCTGCCAGATTCAGACGTGTTAGAATCACACAATCTGGGCTGGGTCAAAAGTATGTACAATGTCGATGCTTGGTTCAACCACGTGATCTGATGGTGTCTTTCCTCAATAAAGTCAGTCATGTTTGCCAGAGGTGGAGGGAAGTCGCCATCTCAACCGCAACACTTTGGGGAAGGGTTCCGTTTTCCCTCCCAGCGTGGGTTCCAGAATCGCTTGTTCGCTCTCAAGGAGCTCCCTTGCTCATTTCCTACGCCTTCCCCGACGAGAACTCTTACGACAGTGATTCTAGCATCCTTCGCATCGAATCTACGCTCGCAGAGCTCCAGCGCGTAAAGGAACTCTCCCTCAGTGGCCCAGTTTCGAAGACAACCCTCAAGTCCCTAGGTTCTATTCTCAATTCAAAGGGTGCTCCCTTGCTAGAAGAGTTCACACTCTCGTTGTCCAGCACACGCACAGCCAACAACCCTTTCACTCTCCCGTCCAAAAGCTTCCTCTCGGAATTGCCTCGCCTGCGACATGTATCGATATCTGGACCGGTGGTCATTCCTTGGTGCTCACACATCTTCACCGGCCTCACTTTCATAGAAATTTGCGATCCTTCAGGGAACTCACCGTCCATGGAACAGATATCGGCCATCCTCAGTCGCAACCGCCAGCTCGTTGAATTAGCGCTGACTGGCTCTGCTCTTCCCTCGCCCAGTCCGGCGTCGGCATCTTCGCCGCATTCTCCGGTCCCCTTAGACAACCTCGAGCGCCTCTGTCTTGAAGGGAGCATACCGTCGTGTTCTCGGCTCACATCTCTTATCACCGTTCCCGCTTCTACGCGCGTGTCCATAACGATCTGGAACAAGCAGAACCAGTCTCTATCCGCGGAAGACGGCTTGAGTAGTTTCTCGTCTCTTTCCCGTCCAGAGGCTCGAACAGCTAGCTTGGAGATTACGTCGTGCCGATCGCTCACCTTGTCCGCTTGGAAGACCGTGGAAAATCCGAGATGGTGCAACGATTATTACAGGCGCCAGAGTCGAGCATTGTCGTTCGACATGCATACATTCCACGAGCATGAATTGTGCAGACCCGCCTTCCTACTCAGTTTCAAACACCTGGTTGGTCTCGAGGCATTACATGCTCTTCATTTGGAACTTACGTGCACTTCGGCTGTCCTCGACGCTCATCATTGGCGCCAACTCCTCGCGCCGTGTCGAGAGTTGAGGGTATTGCATATTGTTGGAGAAGCGTCGACTACGTTTCTGAAGGCTTTGTCTCCCAAAGATGGTCATGAGTCGTCCGGGTCTGAAGCAAGCAACGGTGCGTGCAGTTTTTTTGGTCACGCTTATACTTTGTGTATTCACGACCTTTATTCTTTCATGACCAGCCTCATTCCTACCCAAGATCAAGGACTTATATATCTGCCAGGTGAAGCTCTCCGAAAAAGACCTCATGGACTTGACCAGATGGGCGCACGAGCGTAAGGCCCTCGGCACTCCTCTTAAGGAACTTGATATACGCGATTATTGTGACATCAGTGACACGACGTCGTCCACGCGCCTAGCCTTGCAGAAAGAAGTTGACAGCTTTGACTACGATTATCGGTTGAAACGTGAAGATCAGGAGAAAGTGCGAAGGGGATGATCGGACAGGGGTAGGTTGTAGCAAAGGTAAGACATCTGAATTATTCGCTGCTCTGAGCACCGTGGTTTGAGCCGATGCTAAACTGAGTTTATCTTTGCCATCGACCCATTTCCAGGATAGTATCTTCAGCGGTGGAAGTTTGAGTTTGCGTCTTCTTCATAATTATCTCACGTATGTACACCAAAAAAGGACGCTGGATAATGATTCTCTTATAACAAGTGCAATAGCAAATCGCCGGGTGAGAACAGACTTGAACATCTATGGTAACTTGTAAGTAGCTCAAGGCTCATGCATGCGGGGAATCCGGAAGTGCTTGCGTTCCCTCACTGTGAAACTGCTTCGGTTGCTTCTCTTTTGCTACGAGAATAATCAAGGAAGGTCAGGGATCTGGCGTGATAGAATACTTGTCGTAACATACCTAGATCTCGCCAGCGGCAATTCTCAACCCACTTACAGCGTTTAGTGTCCAGATACCATTTCACATCAGCACCTGGAGCTGTCGCGTCCCGCAACTTCTTCGCGCTCTCTTCGGGAATATGCCCCGTATAGTTCGTCCCCATTGACAGGCCCAACCTCCTGACTATTCTAGCTTTTGTACTAAGTTCAACGGTGCCAATCTGGCACACAGAAACCCGCCTATCGACTGGTAGACCTAGATGCGCCATGAGCCGGGTTATGAGTCCAGTGAAAGTGGTCCAATAATCGATCTTCTTGGGGCCATCGATCCAATGGTAGAAAGGCTCAGACAACTCCAACGCGAGCTTCAACGTTAGTTCTTTGTCAAGAATCCAGCCGTAGTGCACGAGCGGTGGTAAGAAGCGTAGATTTTTGCGTGGCACTAGGTAACGGGGGATGCGATCGATAGGTTGTTGTCCAAATATGCGGACACCGTCCTGAAAGGTGTCACTGACTATGCACTTAAAGAAAGCAGATTGAGACGGGCGTACCTCATCTGTGTACTTCTTTCCAGCAGGCGCGAACAAAATCTCTCCGATATCCGTTTTCGTATGTTCTTGATTCGAAGTGGTTTGTTCCATCATGGATCGATAACGTGAGTGGAAGTTGAGTGGGAGCAAGTTGATGGTCGGAAATAGAAGCGAAGGAGAACCTTTTGAGGCCCATATTGGGCTGTGTTCATTCTCCGATCCAAAACGCACGTGCGTTGACACACCTTGACACATTGCTTGGCGGAAGCCTGAAAATCACTGGCGGTTCTCCACCACTTCTGTACTTGAACGACAAAACCCGGGTATTGCATGAGCTGGCTGTTACCTGGCTTTCAAATCCAGCGTCATACCAACACAAAAAATACTGGAAAGAAAGACAAGTTTACTATGGACACAAGAGGCCCGGAGAACTTTATTTTCTTATAACAACTACAATAGCGAATCGCCGGGTGAGAACAGCACTGGACATCTATGGTGGCTCAAGGCTCATGCATGCGGCGAATCCGGAAGTGTTTGCGTGCCCTCACTGTGATACTGCTTCGATGGCTTCTCTTTCGCTATGATCATAATCAAGGAAGGTCAGTGATCTGGTGTAATAGGATACTTGTTGTAACGTACCTGGATCTCGCCAGCGGCGATTCTCAACCCACTTACAGCGCATAGCATCCAAATACCATTTCACATCAGCGCCTGGAGCCGTCGCGTCCCGCAACTTCTTTGTGATCTCTTCAGGAATGTTGCCCGCATAGTTCGTCCCCGTTGACAGGACTAACCTCACCACTATTTTATCTTCTGGGCTACGTTCAACAATGCCAATCTGACGTATAGAAACCCGTTTATCGACTGGTAGACCTAGATGCTCCATGAGCGGGGTATGAGGCAAGTGAAAGTGGTCCAATAATCGGGCTTCTTGGGGCCGTCGATCCAATGGTAAAAGGTCTCAGACAACTCCAATGTGAGCTTCCACATTAGTTCTTCGTCGAGAATCCAGCCGTAGTGCAAGAGCGGCGGTGAGAAGCGTGGGTTTTTGCGTGGGATTAGGTAACGAGGGATGCGTTCGAGTGGTTGTTGTCCGAATATGCGGACGCCGTCCTGAAAGGTGTCATTGACTATGCACTGACAGAAAGTAGTTTCAGACGGGCATACCTCATCTGTGTAAGCCTTTCCAGCAGGCGCGAACAAAAACTCTTTGATATCCGTTTTCGTATTTCCTTGGTCCGAAGTAGTGTGTTCCATTATGGACCGGTAACAAAGCGTGAGTGGAAGTTGAGCAAAGTTGAGTGGAAGCTAGTTGATGGTCGCGTGAATAGACGCGAAGGCGAACCTCCTTAGGCCCATGTTGGACCGTGTTCATTCTCCGACCGAAAATGCACGTGCTTTGACACACCGCTTGGCGCAAGGTCACTAGCGGTTCTCCGACCTCGCCTTGTAAAATCCAACATCGTACGAATGCAACAAAGATTGAGACAAGGCCACTATGTGCGCACGAGGAGAACTTTGTAACTGAGGCCTCGGTAGAGCCACTGGTAGTAATAAGTACAAAAGCAGATCGATGGTTGAGAACATGCACATTTATGGTAGCTCAAGACTCATGCATTCAGGGATCCTGGAGATGTTTGCGTACCCTCATTGTGATACTGCTCGGGAGACGCTTCTCGTGCTCATTTGCTACTGTATCAATATAAATGTCAGCAAAGTAAAACATAGGACTATAAATCGCAACGCACCTGGAGCCCGATAGCGACGATTCTCAGTCCACTGCCAGCGTTTGGCATCCAAATACCATTTAATTTCAGCACCTGGAGCTGTCGCGTCCCGCAACTTCTTCGCGTTCTCTTCCGACATATGTCCAGTATAGTTCGTCCCCGTCGATACACCCAATTTCACGGCAACAGTGCCACTTGGATTGAGTTCCCCGCTGCCAATTTGACAGAGGTATACTCGTTCGTCATACGGGAGGCCAAGATCGTGCATGAGCTGGGGAATGAAAGTGGAGCAGGTAGTGAAGTAGTCTGGCTTCTTAGGACCATCGATATAATGGTAGAAGGCCTGATTCTGTTCTTTCGCCAGCTTCAACGTTCGTTTCAGATCAATAATCCAGCCGTAGTGCAAGAGCGGCGGTAAATCGCGTCCATTCTTGCGCGGGATCAAATACCGAGGGATGCTGGCAATGGGCTGTTGTTGAAACACGCGGATGGCGTCCTAAGAGACGCGTTAGCCATCTCCTACCCGAAGACGGTAATCAAAACAAACCTGATCTGTGTATTCGCCCGCAGCAGGGACGAACAAGACTTGGTCGATATCTATCTTGGACGAGGCGGCAGCCATGGTGGTGGAAAGGAGCAAAGTGAGCTCATCGGCTGAACCCGTATCTGCATTGTCCAACAACGAGCACGTGCGGGTGACACGCAACGCGGCGGGAAGGGGCAGGAAGGGGCGCTCTTGAACGTAGAGAGTATACTCCTAAGTTGGAAAATGATCCAATGCCATACCGCTCTATTTAAACAAACCGACGCCAGGGTAATGGATTTTATAAGGAGATGAACGACGGAGCCAACGGAAGCAGGTCGGGCCACACATCCATCACGGTCGAAGACCTAGCTATGTGCAAGATTTGTTTGAGTATCGGCATTGTGATACTGTAGTAAGCCGGTGAAACGCGAGATAGAGGGCGGGAAAGACAGTAAGTCTCGAATAGCAGATGATAACATAGGTACAAGTGTGAACGATGAGAGTATGTGGCGCAAAGAAGGGCCTATTTGTTCTTTGACATCCTACACATCCACGCAAGTTAGTCAACGTCGATTATGAAGTGAATGACCAGACACACTTGTATGTAAACCGTTTCTTCGTATGCGAGAACTCTCCCAACTTGTGGCCCACCATATCCTGCGTAACGGTTACTGGGATGTATTCCTTGCCGTTGTGCACCTGGAACCTCATTCTACCAGCACAGTTGATTCAGTATGATAACCTCGATAGAAGAAACCAGAGCACGCACCCGATGAAGTTAGGAAGAATAGTGCAATCCCGAGCCTGTGTCTTTATTGGCACATTATTTTGAATAGCCTCGCGAAGATTGGGAAACGCGACAAAGAATGGGCCTGTTCACAAGTTCAGTGAGATGACCAACAATAACAGAGGCCAAAACATACCTTTCCAGGCTGACCTGCCTCCCCGTACGACCAACGACGCGTGCATAAGTGATAGCGGTACTGAACCAAGGAATTCACGCCAAGTGTTCGTGTACGCCAGCCGGCAACGTCCGGGGAGGTACCGCCCAAAAATAATCCGGGTTAGCAAAAATAGACCATTTCATCATGTTTGGGCCTAACGGCTTGAGCGACGTTCGTAGCGGCAGAGGGAACAAGCATCATGAGGCCCTTCTCTCGCCGAACCCCCCACGCCCACGCCAACTCTTCCAAATAGACTCAGTCACCGTGGGGTCATACAAGCTCAGATAGGTATAAGCGAGCGCGTCGAGCGGTTCAGCCTGAGGATCGCCCTTGCTCCTGACTTTTCACTTGGACTCGGAATTACTCCGCTGTATCTTGGACCTCGAACAAAGTTGACGGAGAACGATTACCTGATTCTCGAGAACTCGCTACTTGCGTGTGGAGGAGGGAAGGATGGCGTCGCCTCAGGATCATGGACAGGACCAGAACATGGGCTGGACGTCGACGGGGAAGGCACCCACAGCTTCGGCGACAGCTTCATCTTCGTCTTCGTTCCTCGACGATGGCGACTCGTCAGATCGACCCAAAGTCAGTATCATTATCTCTGTCGTCGCTCACCGCGAGGTCTCACGGCCAACTGTGGTCTTTACAGACAATTCTCATCTTTGTCTTCGCGATTGCTGCGCTACTACTTATCATAGGCGCTCTCGTCTGGAGGTGCGTACCCGCTCCGGGATCACTCTGTGGTAAGTTACCAGTTTCGACCCTTGCTGACCAATGACGCGATGTATTCTGTTGATGGAATAGATATCATTACATCCGCAAACACCACCTTCCCATGCGTTCCTTCTTCACATTTACGACCGGCACCAAGGATCGACCCCCATTACCTGTCCACCTCGCCTCCTCCTCTAACCCCCGATCACGAACGCGTTCCCGCCTCGACAGTCTCACACTCACTACCCTCCCCGTCCCGCCTCTCGCCCATCCACGTTCCCGTCGAACAAGCAACCCCGCACGAAATAGCGCACGAGGACGGACAAGAACGCGTGGAGCCGACATCGATGTCGGAGGGAGGAGGTTGCCCGCGGACGGTATTAGCGAAAAGGATATCTTGCCGGCATATGGGGAGGAGGCTGCCGGTGGAAGGTTGCCGTTATATGTTGAGTTGGAAGCGATGGACTTTGGCAGAGGTGTAGGAGCCGATGGAGGCGAGGCTAGGACGCCCACCCAGGACGAACCTCCTGTTGGTGAGGGATTTATGCCAAGTAGCGACGTTGAGCGCCAGCATGGATCACAACCGTCCGCACACACTGAGCCCACAGTAAGTCTAGCTACCTCTCTCGCACTACCGCTCCTGGATGGCTAGCTGACGAGTGCGACGACCATGTCGGCTGTAGCGATAACATCGGCCATAGACGGTCCTGCTCGTCCGTCTTGCTTGCCCGGCCTGAACATTCGAACACTTAGACTCTTGTGGATAATTCTACGATACCTTGTTCCGACTAACACAAACCAGGATGTACAGCTACCTGACTCTCTTTCCCTTCCCTTTTCTACCCATATCGCTTCTCGGACGGAATTTCGCCTATCTTCTGTTCGTATTCGTCTGTTGTATTTTTTGTCACAGTCTCAGTGTACTGTACGGTCTTTGTTGTGCTTCATCTTTCAATCACCATTCACCCGTTCTTTCCGATTATTGATGAGCGAGTGATTTGGCATAAACTCAGGCGGTGTTACTCGTCCCAGAGGGTCGCGGTCAACAATACTGCTGCGAGCTAGCGTAGGCTAAAGACGATGCGCTCATGTGTGGCGTCACTTCCCTGAATCTAAATTTAGGTCCAATGTCGTTGGCTCGCCACCCAAGTTAGAGCCACCTCTCCTTGTCTCGCCTCGACGTTCAACATCCAACCTCGGAGCCTGAGGGGCTGCTCAATTCTGGCCGGTCAAACTGTCAAGTCAAACTCGAGCAGGTCAAACTCTGCGAAGCGATGCAGGTGGAGTCGGCAAGAGTCCCGCTACTTCGCGAACACCTCATCATCGAGTGGTTCTCACGGGGAGACGCATACTGTATAAACTGTCCAACGCAGTTTGTATTCACTAGGTAGGATAAGTCCAGGATTTTTCTTCGAGCGGACCTGTGCGTGCTCGGGTTAGACGTATTTTTTTACTGATTTTTACGAAGAGGGGCATGCAATACAGAATTTCTTGATGAAATTTGCACGTCTGTGGCAGAATGAGCAGATCGAGAGTGGCGCAACTCGGCAAACGATCCCATGTGCGCCACCGCGTAGAGTTTGACCAGCTTGACCTTGACCAGCTTCACTTGACAGTTTGACCTGCGAGAATTGAGCAGCCCCTCAGGTTCTCAGAAAGGGCGAGGGTCCGAGTCTTATAATGAGCACATATACAGAGAGGTACGTCAGCAGGTGTAGAAAACAAAGGACAAACATAGCAAGCTACGGGAGCGCAGGGATAGCAGCATACGCAAACATCAGGACACAAGTCAGTACATATACGGAACACAGCAACTGAGTCAATCTCTATACGTCGAAGAAGTCGTCATCGTCCACAGAGTATGCAATGACATCGATCTCGATTCCGAACTCAGTAGCCTCCCGGTCAAGCAGTCCATCACATCCAGGGCATATTTTCGAATCCTCCTTCACACACACCCTACAGACCCACTTCTCGCATTTAGAGCAATATTCTTCCTCGATGCAGTTGTCGCAACAATCCGAGGAGCAGAACTCGCAGGGGTGCAGCCTGTCGTCGCAACTGGTCCCGGGGCACGAATGGTTGGAGCATCCGTCGCACTCGACTGTCTAAACAAAACAAGTTGATATGGCACCGTATTAGAAGGAGATTATATGGGTCACAGGGATGAAGATATAGGTGCGCTCACCTGCTCTCCACAGTCCTGGCAGCAATCCTCTGGAAGAGCCCCGTCCGAGTCCTGTCCATCTAGACTCGGCGTGGGAGAAGCAGGCTCATCCTCTTCGTCCTCTCCCTGGTCATCTAACATCATAGCCACATCTGTGGACTGCGACTTTTCTCCAATAAACCCTTCGGTTGAAGCATCTGCCCTACAAACATCTGTAGCCCATTTCATCACCTCGTCCAGGATGGGAAAAAACTCATCTGGGATGGGTGCGATCTGAAAGATGGGCTTAGTAGCCAAGTCGGTCACACAGACCTTTCGGCAAGTGATATCGATACCGTAGCGTGGCTTAAATGGGGGTGAGTCAGGTTCCTTTGGGTAAAGGATATATTGGAGTGATCCTGGGATGAACCCTTTGCTGGGTCTACTGCAGAAGAGCCTGGCAGAGTGGGTGACAAGGGAGTGGCAGGAATAAAATAAAAAACCAGATGTAGGGGGGGGAGGGGGGCCCGGAGGGCCCTTAAACGCGAACTGTCCGGACATTACGGGAGGTCCTACGGCAGCCATTTGGAGGGTTCTTGGGGCTCATATATGATTATCTTTGTACACAGCGCTGGTAGAACTGTGAATAGAAGATGTTTTGAGTGTAAAAAGGATAATAATGAATACTTTTAGGCTAGGTTAAGCTACGGTCGACGTCGGTCATCCCCTCCCCTAGCCTAGGCTAGGTTAAGCTACGGTCGACGTCGGTCATCCCCTCCCTAGCCTAGGCTAGGTTAAGCTACGGTCGACGTCGGTCATCCCCTCCCTAGCCTAGCTA